CCTTTGGAAGAAGGCCTTCTTCAAGACCTACAAGGAGACTCGGTCATGGTTCCACTTGATCACCAACTTCAACCGTATCTGGGTCATTCACCTGTGTGCTTTCTGGTTCTTCACTGCCTACAACGCCCCGACTCTGTACACCGTCGATTACCAACAGCAATGGAATAACAAGCCGTCGACTGCCAAGTATCTGGCTGCCGTCGGTTTCGGTGGTGCGCTCGCTGCTTTCATTCAACTGTGTGCTACTATCTGCGAGTGGTTGTATGTCCCTCGTCGGTGGGCTGGTGCTCAGCACTTGCGGAAGCGATTCTTCTTCATTCTCGGCATGTTCATCCTCAACTTGGCTCCCGGTGTGGTTATCTTCGGCTTCTTGGATATGCTGCCTAGCGGCATCCAGAAGCCTGTTGGTCTTGCCCTCGGTATCGTCCATTTCGTCCTCGCCCTCTTCACCGCAACCTTCTTCGCTATCCAGCCCCTTGGTGCACTTTTCGGTAGTTACCTGAAGAAGAATGGTCGGCAGTATGTTGCTAGCCAGACCTTCACCGCCAGCTTCCCTCGTCTGCACGGCAATGACATGTGGATGTCTTACGGTCTCTGGGTTTGCGTTTTCGGCGCCAAGCTTGCTGAGTCTTACTTCTTCCTGACTTTGTCGTTCAAGGATCCCATCCGCATCCTGTCGCCCATGACCATCTACGAGTGCACTGGTGTCAAATATGTCGGCAACATTCTGTGCCACAAGCAGCCCCAGATCCTCTTGGGTCTGATGTTCTTCATGGACTTGACTCTGTTCTTCCTGGACAGCTATCTGTGGTACATTATTTGCAACACCATCTTCTCGGTGGCTCGCTCGTTCTACCTCGGTGTCTCTATCTGGTCCCCCTGGCGAAACATCTTCTCCCGTCTGCCCAAGCGTATCTACTCGAAGGTTTTGGCTACCACTGATATGGAGATCAAGTACAAGCCCAAGGTTCTCATCTCCCAGGTGTGGAACGCCATCATCATCTCGATGTACCGTGAGCATCTGTTGGCCATCGACCACGTCCAGAAGCTTCTCTACCATCAGGTGCCGTCCGAGCAAGAGGGCAAGCGTACTCTCCGTGCCCCCACCTTCTTCGTCTCCCAGGAAGACCAGTCTTTCAAGACCGAATTCTTCCCTGCCGGTAGCGAGGCTGAGCGTCGTATTTCCTTCTTCGCCCAGTCTCTGTCTACTCCTATGCCCGAGCCCCTGCCTGTGGACAACATGCCTACTTTCAGCGTTCTGATTCCTCACTACGGTGAGAAGATTCTCTTGTCTCTGCGTGAAATCATCCGTGAGGATGAGCCTTACTCCCGTGTTACCGTCTTGGAGTATCTCAAGCAGCTCCACCCCCATGAATGGGACTGCTTCGTCAAGGATACCAAGATTCTGGCTGACGAGACCTCTCAATTCAACGGCGAATACGGCGAGAAGGGCGAGAAGGATGCTGCTAAGAGCAAGATCGACGATCTGCCTTTCTACTGCATTGGTTTCAAGTCTGCCGCTCCCGAGTACACCCTTCGCACCCGTATCTGGGCTTCGCTCCGCTCCCAGACTCTGTACCGCACTGTCTCTGGTTTCATGAACTACAGTCGTGCCATTAAGCTTCTGTACCGTGTTGAGAACCCCGAGGTCGTTCAGATGTTCGGTGGTAACTCCGAGAAGCTTGAGCGCGAGCTTGAGCGCATGGCTCGCCGCAAGTTCCGTATTTGTGTTTCCATGCAGCGTTACGCCAAGTTCAACAAGGACGAGCGCGAGAACACTGAATTCCTCCTCCGTGCCTACCCTGACCTGCAAATCGCCTACCTTGATGAGGAGCCTCCTGTCAACGAGGGTGACGAACCCCGCCTGTACTCTGCGCTGATTGATGGCCACTGCGAACTGCTCGAGAACGGCATGCGTAAGCCTAAGTTCCGCATCCAGCTGTCCGGTAACCCGATTCTTGGTGACGGAAAGTCCGACAACCAGAACCACGCCATTATCTTCTACCGCGGTGAATACATCCAACTGATCGATGCCAACCAAGACAACTACCTGGAAGAGTGCTTGAAGATTCGTTCCGTCCTTGCCGAGTTCGAGGAGCTGACGACCGACAATGTTTCGCCCTACACCCCCGGGGTTCCCTCGCCTGAGACCAACCCTGTTGCTATTCTTGGTGCCCGTGAGTACATTTTCTCGGAGAGCATTGGTGTCCTCGGTGATGTCGCTGCTTCCAAGGAACAAACGTTCGGTACCCTGTTCGCCCGTACTCTCGCCCAGATCGGTGGTAAGCTTCATTATGGTCACCCTGATTTCCTGAACGCAACTTTTATGTGTACCCGTGGTGGTGTCTCCAAGGCTCAGAAGGGTCTCCATTTGAACGAGGATATTTACGCCGGTATGAACGCCCTCCTTCGTGGTGGTCGTATCAAGCACTGCGAGTACTACCAGTGTGGTAAGGGTCGTGACTTGGGTTTCGGCTCCATTCTGAACTTCACAACCAAAATTGGTACTGGTATGGGTGAGCAGATGCTCTCGCGTGAATACTACTACCTCGGTACTCAACTTCCTCTCGATCGCTTCTTGTCATTCTACTACGCTCACCCTGGTTTCCACATCAACAACATGTTCATTATGCTGTCGGTGCAGATGTTCATGATTGTTCTGATCAACCTTGGTGCCCTGCATCACGAGACCATCACTTGTCGTTACAACTCTGACCTGCCCATCACTGATCCTCTGGAGCCAACTTACTGCGCTGATCTTGCACCAATCATCAACTGGGTCAACCGTTGCGTTATCTCTATCTTCATTGTGTTCTTCATATCGTTTGTTCCCCTGGCTGTCCAGGAACTGACTGAGCGTGGTGTCTGGCGCATGGCTACCCGTCTGGCAAAGCACTTTGGTTCCTTCTCGTTCATGTTCGAAGTGTTCGTGTGTCAGATCTACGCACAGGCCGTCCACCAGAACTTGTCATTCGGTGGTGCCCGTTACATTGGTACTGGCCGTGGTTTCGCAACTGCCCGTATTCCCTTCGGTGTTTTGTACTCTCGTTTCGCCGGGCCTTCGATCTACGCTGGTGCTCGTCTCCTGCTGATGCTGCTCTTCGCCACCACCACTGTTTGGACTCCGGCTTTGATCTGGTTCTGGGTTTCCCTGCTTGCCCTCATCATCTCGCCCTTCCTGTTCAACCCTCACCAGTTCTCCTGGAACGACTTCTTCATCGACTACCGTGACTATCTCCGATGGCTCTCGCGTGGAAACTCTCGTTCTCACGCTTCGTCCTGGATCGGGTTCTGCCGTCTGTCTCGTACCCGTATTACTGGTTACAAGAAGAAGCTTCTTGGAGTTCCCTCTGAGAAGGGCTCTGGCGATATTCCTCGTGCGCGCATCACCAACATCTTCTTCAGCGAGATCATCGCCCCCCTGGTCGTGGTTGCAGTCACTTTCATCCCCTACCTGTACATCAACTCCCGCACCATGTTCAGTGACAACACCGCGTACGCCCCCGATGCCATTGCCCGCATCGCCATCGTTGCCTTTGCCCCTATTGGTATCAACGCTGGTGTCGCCGGTATGTTCTTCGGCATGGCCTGCTGTATGGGTCCCATTTTCAGCATGTGCTGCAAGAAGTTCGGTGCAGTCCTAGCCGCGATTGCCCATGCCATCGCTGTTATCGTCCTGATCGTCTTCTTTGAGGTTCTTTTTGTCCTTGAATCCTTCAACTGGGCCCGTACTGTATCTGGCATGATCGCCATGATGGCCCTTCAGCGCTTCATTTACAAGTTGATCATCTCTTTGGCCCTCACCCGTGAGTTCAAGAACGATCAGTCCAACATCGCCTGGTGGACCGGCAAGTGGTACAACATGGGTTGGCACTCGCTTTCCCAGCCTGGCCGTGAGTTCCTTTGCAAGATCACCGAGTTGGGCTACTTCGCCGCCGACTTTGTCCTTGGTCACATCATCCTCTTCTTCATGCTTCCGTTCCTTGCTGTCCCTTACGCCGATAAGTTCCACTCTGTCATCCTGTTTTGGCTGCGTCCCAGGTATGTATTACATTATCTCCTTTCACGTAGTGCAATAATACTAACATCATATCTACAGTCGCCAAATCCGTCCTCCTATCTACTCTCTGAAGCAGTCCAAGCTGCGCAAGAGACGTGTGATTCGTTTCGCCATTCTCTACTTCGTTATGCTGATCCTCTTCATTGTCCTTATCGCCGCACCGGTCATCGTGCGCAACATGGACCTCGACGTCAGCCTGCGCCGCACCCTCTACAACGCCATTGGTGTCAAGTCAGGCAACAGCATGTATCTCCTCCAGCCTCTTGACAAGGGTCTGAATGACACCCAGACCTACTATACCGGTAGTCATCTGCCCAAGGGTTTCTCCTCCCATGCTGCTGTTACGCCCACTGCTGGCAACGACAAATTCCAGCGCTTACTGTGAAGTGGTCAACTTGACCCTGTATGAGAATGGCCTGTACAAAGTTCACCTGTGTTTTTTTCCTTCACACTTTTTCTTTTTATTTTCTTGCGATTCGCTGCATTCTTTCGTGAAATCACCGGCGCACTTGTTGATCTTAATGGCTTGTGTGGAATGACACTTGTATCTCGACTGGTTTTGTCATCGCCCTGGGGGGTTTACCTTCGTTTACCGCTCTCATAGCTCGCTTTCTTATTCTCTTAAAACACTCACGGAATACAAACTGCATTGCTTCAACCTATTATAGAAACACTGCTCAGTCTCTTTGTTCACTGTAAACCTCTGCATCAATCGCATAAATAGAGTCATAAGTATCGTAACCTGAAGGTACTTCATTGTACGGGATCACGAGCATGTCACGTGATACTGGACGTTTCAGCTTGTCCGCGAGCCCCCGGGGGTGTGTCCATCAACCATCCCCTCAAATTAAGTCCATTCGGTTCTGTCTGAAGGCCTCTAGTTCTTGAAATCCTTTCTTTGATATTCTCGCGCCCCCGAGCGCCTTAAATTACTCCCAAGATGGACCTCCAGGAGACACAGCGTCTCCTGACCGAATACCTTCACGAACTCGCGCACCTCTTCCATCGTGTCCCCGGCTCGGCAATCTTCCTGCGATACGTTAAATCCAGCTATCAGGATGACCCAATTCGCTCTGCAGTCGAGCTCTTCCTGTTCCTCTTTGCTGTCCGCTATTTGCTTGCCCCTAAATACTCGACCAAGCCCGGTGTTGTGCCATTGACCGAGGATGAGATCGATGACCTTGTTGATGAGTGGATCCCCGAGCCGCTTGTGGCCCAGCCCACTGCTCTGGAGGAGATGGAGGTCGAAAAGCGGATGGTGATTGTTGGGTAAGCTCTTTCGCTGTCATCTCGAGGCATCGTGACTTCGGAGCCAGAATCCCCTCGGACATTGTGCTAACAGGCTATCGTGATCTTTACAGTCCTGTCGGTCCCAAGTCCAAGCTCGCAAACGGTCGTACTGTCAACAACCTCTGCTCCTTTAACTTTTACAACTTCAACACAAACGAGTCCCTCAAGGAGCAGGCCATCCAGACCCTGCGCAACTATGGCGTCGGTCCTTGCGGCCCCCGCGGCTTCTACGGTACCCAGGACGTGCACATGAAGACTGAGGCTGATATCGCTTCTTTCTTGGGCACTGCGGCCTGTATCATGTACTCACAAGCATTCTCTACTATTTCTAGCGTCATTCCTGCTTTCTCCAAGCGTGGTGACATTATTGTTGCGGATAAGGGTGTTAGCTTTGCTATTCGGAAGGGTATTCAGATCTCCCGCAGTATCGTTCGGTGGTACGAGCACAATGATATGGAAGACCTGGAGCGTGTTCTCGCCAAGGTTACCAAGGAGCAGGCCCGGAAGCCGCTGACTCGGCGATTCATCATCACCGAGGGACTTTTCGAGTCATATGGTGATATGGTCGACCTACCCAAGATCGTGAGTTAACGGTTACTCGCAATGCCGAATCTCTTTTATTTGCGCGTTGCTAATCTCGAGTGCAATCTAGATCGAGTTGAGACTCAAGTACAAGTTCCGTCTCATTCTCGACGAGACCTGGTCCTTCGGAGTTTTGGGCCGCACCGGACGTGGTATCACCGAGCACCAGAATGTCGATGCTGCCGAAGTTGACATGATTGTGGGATCATTGGCTGGTCCCCTTGTCGGAGGTGGAGGTTTCTGTGCAGGATCCGAGGAAATTGTTCACCACCAACGGATTTCAGCCGCGGCATACACCTTCTCCGCCGCGCTTCCTGCTTTGCTTTCGACCACCGCTAGTGCGACTATCAATCTTCTCCAAAATAGCCCCGAGACCGTTTCCCAGCTACGAGAGTTCACGAAGGCTATGCGGGCTCAGCTAGATCCTCGCAGTGATTGGGTCTACTGCACTAGCGCTCCAGAGAACCCAGTTCTTATTTTGGTTATCAAGCCGGAGGTTGTGACATCCAAGAGACTCACCTACGAGGATCAGCAGTACTTGCTCCAGGATGTTGTCGACGAGGTTAGTAACAACCCTTTGAGCTCTTTTGTGTTCGCGAGTCCGATCAGCAGCTGACATGTATGCCTATTTAACAGTGCCTTGCCAACGGAGTCCTTATCACCCGCCTTAAGACACTTGAAGACAACTTCCAGCCCAAGCAGGTCGTGCCAGCCGGTCTCAAGGTCTGCGTCACTATTGGCCTGACCAAGAAAGAGATCGAGAAAGCTGGCACCATCATCCGGCACGCTATCACGAAGGTGATGAGCAAGAAAAAGTGAACAGTCCCGTTCTGTGACGCCTTTCGTTCCATTCTCGAATGACCGCTCATGCCCCAACGACCTACGGCACCCTCCCTATGTACATCCGCTGGTGTTTCTTGGCGATCTCACTATACGCCCTAATGTCCTTTCTCGTCCTTCGTCTCCTGTATTGTTACAGCCGACCGTTGATATGCATCTCTTTCGCTATCCAACTTTGTACAGCGCTGCCCCCACCTTTTATTATCTTTCTGTATTCTCCGGGGACGGTCTCATACTTCATCGGTGCTTGGTTTCTAGATTGTTTAATATTACTATTTCCACCTTGGCTTCGGCTTATTGCTGGGCCAAAAATTGCATATTTGAATACTTTTCAAAATATCGCCTTTTTTCTGTATTGTTCCCTGTGATTGGAACGCGTTGATCTAATCTAGGGGCTTGATTTGCTACTATGCACAACAGCGAAGCCGCGCCAAGTGCAACTATTCTTTTCGCAAGCGGCGGAGACTGCGATGCGGAGAGTGGGCTTATGATCCAACTACGATATGAGATCCTTCTTATCCCTTCAGCCTACACAATAATGTGACACTGGGTTCCCTATAATGCTACAGTCGATGAAATCGAAGAATACAAGGTCCTAGCCCCTTCACTCTCGGCGCAACGAACCTGGAATGAGTTCAACATTCCACAAGCCTTGGTCACCCTAGGGACATTCTCCGCCGACAATGATTCGACCCTGGGTCATATTCCCAAACTGATCCGACTGAGCCATGCCGGTTCTCAGATGCTCTAAGTCTTCATGTCAAGGGGCTGCGGCCGCTCCAGACCTGGACCCGAATCCCATTCTCCATGTCACCCCACGCTGAATAGCTATGCCTGGATGCCCCTTTGTTTACTCGCTATGCAGCCAAGTCTACTGGTGAATTCTGGGCGTCTCAGCTCCAGGGTGAATATAATCTGCCTGATCTGCATGGGATGTTACTTTCCTCGTGTGCAGGGAGGATTTCGAGGTTGCTTCTGGTCTGATCGCGATCGACTCTACTAACCCTGGGTTCAGTATCGAGGCTCGGACGAACCCGACCGACGGATTCAACGGTGCGATGAAGCACCTTAATGAAGCCCTGCTGGCCCTGTTTTTTGCATGTGGTGTTTATGCTGAGGCCCATGGTATGACAGAGACCAGCCAATTCATATGTCATGGACCTGTGATGGCTAATATTTCCTCCGTAGGACCCCATCAATGCCTCGATGAGCTTGATGGCGCTTTTCAGGCCCAAGCTACTACTGAAGTAGTTGTCTGGGTCAACGAGGAGGGAGACACGATCCGCACCGAAACGAACCGCATTGCTGCCACGCCTGCTTTGCAAGAAACTGTCAGTAGATAAACCCAATATCCATGAGAAGACTCTAGTAGGTGTCTTGGATGGCCATTAATATAATGGTACAGGGCCGCACAACTGTTATTCAAACCTCCATACCGACAGCGCCCGATGCAACGCAAGATACCCAGGCTTCGCCACCAACAGCATCTCAAGAGCAACCATCACCAGCAGAGAACCCAACCCTCGCCGATAGACTGCAAAAGAAACCGCAGCCTCCTGCTGTCCAGCACCCCCAGCCGGTACAACACCCTCACCCAGACCACCATGAAGATCACCAACGCAAGCTCGGAATCTCCTACTCGCCATATAACGCGGATAGGAGCTGCAGATCCGAAGAACAAGTCAACAAGGACCTCGATAAATTAACGGAATACGCCTTTGTCCGCATATATGGTACCGATTGTGGTCAGACTACCACCGTTGCCAGAGCAGCACGGCAACACCACATGCAAGTCTTCGCGGGTGTCTACGACTTGGAAAACTTCCCCGAGAGTATCAAGGCATTCAATGATGCAGCCACTCTGCCTGGAGGAAAGAAAGATTGGTCCGTATTCCACACTATCGCCGTTGGCAATGAACTCGTCAATGGCGGTATGGCAGCACCTGCAGACGTGACAAAAGCCGTGAATGAAGCGCGAACCATGCTCCGCAAAGAGGGGTATCAAGGACCAGTTGTGACTGTCGACACTTTCTCCGTCCTCCTCAAACACCCGGAACTATGCATTGCATCGGACTATTGCGCGGCAAACTGCCACGCCTTCTTCGACGCAACACAGCACCCATTTAACGCAGGTCCATATGTCCTCGAGCAGGCCCACGCCGTCTCCGCCGCAGCTGGTGGGAAACGCACGATGATTACAGAGTCTGGCTGGCCACATGCTGGCCAGTCAAATGGTGCGGCTGTGCCGTCGCCTGAGAATCAGCGCGTTGCGATTGACAGCATTCGTCGCAGCTTTGCGCACCGCGAGGACGATCTTGTGCTCTTTACTGCCTATGATGACCTCTGGAAACAGGATAATCGGTATACATTCAGCGCCGAGCGTTTCTGGGGAATATATGAACGGTAGTTAGCATGATTAGCTAGGACCTTATGGTACATCCTAGACAACAGTAATGTAGATAGACTCTGTTTTCTTGAGATCAATGAATATGATGAGAGATTTGCTTTCGAATCAACGCTGATGCTATGGTGTAATCATAGAAGAACATGGAGACTATTATACAGGATATAGGAAATATTATACAGGAAGGGGAGGACCCTTTAAAGCACGGCAGGACCAGGCCACGTACACACTTAGGCATATCGGACTCTGCGCTGCTTGTGGGATTCTCGTGCGCGAGCTTTCAGCTTCTCCAGCCACCCCTTACGCCCAGCAAGCTCCTCAAATGCTTTCTTGTTCGGAGGGAACTCCCAGAACGATTCCTGGCCATGAAGTGACTCCTCCTGGGTATCCTTATCCCGCTGTCGCTGACGTACGATATCTTTCAGCAGTCTGCGGGTTCTGAAACTAGGCTCTAGTCCAGTCACATCCATGTCGTGGAGGAACGATACTACTGCTGGGAGATCATTACAACCATGCCAGTAGAAGTGAATCATTTCGTCGTAGAGAGCAACGGATGACCCAAGGAGAGCAGATGCGCGGCCCTGCTCCTTGATAGTCGACCGGAACTGGCCGATGAGAGGCGACTCCGGGAAATGCGTGTTCAGCAAGCGGAAGGCGATCAAAAGAGTCTTTGGGTAGAGCTCTGTGATGACCGGGCCAATTGGCACGACAGAGGGGATTCTCAAAGGTCCGGCTGCGGGTGTTGCTTGTTTGGTACCAGAGGCTTCGTTTGCGCCATATGAGTTGTCAGAGCCAGGCATTGTGATCTCAGCTCCCTCATCCAAATGTTGCAATACCGAGAAAATGCGCTCTTTGCAGACGTCCCATAGGCCCATATCGCCTTTACCTTCCTCAATTGCTTGGAAAAGCGCAAACTCAATCTTCTCTGATTCCTTCTTCACGACAAACTCGATCGCTTCTCTCATGGTGATCTCGGGTTCCACGCTGGTAGCCGAAGCTGGCTCGGTGTAACCGAGGTCACTAATTCGGAGCTTCGTACCGCCCACGTCCTCTGATGAGCCATCTGCGCTGCTGGAGTTGCCGCTAGAGAAAGGTATGCCACCCTCGGTATCGGCTGCCTTTTGCAATTCTCTCTTAGATTTGGCAGAAGTCTTATTTTTCTCTTGCACATCTTTCAAGATCGAGCCAAACTTGACCATGAGCTCTTTTATACGCTCCTGTCCTTCGCTTGACAAGTCCTGCGTTTGTTCTGCGTCTCCAGCGTGCGCGTTTCCGTCATCGCGTCCGATGCCGAGCTGCCCGAGTAGCTCTCCAAAAGCTTTTCTTTCCTGGCCCGTGACTGTACTGGATCCTTTGGTCGACTTTGAGGAAGGGGCTTGTGCCTTGCCACGAACTTTTGGTGATAGTGAAGCAGAACGCCGGCGGAGGTAACTTCGCCGAGGTTGGTGGTTTTCTGATGTCGAACCGGAGCCAGACCTTTGAGATGAAGAATCCTGGCTCAATTCATCCTGGTCAGATGCGAAGCTGCTCTCCGACCTCTCGTAATCGTGGGCGGCTCTGTTTTGGGCCGAGTATTGACGCACGCGAGCATCGAACGTCCTGCGCAATGACAGTGAAATCGGCGCAAGGGTGCGGGTTTGATATAGAAATGGAGTCGGCGAGCTTGTTGTCGCCGATAAAAAGAAGGCGCGAGAAATATTCGTCGCCATTGCCTCGTCTGGTGTTGTTCGTTGCATCGGTCTGTTGGCGAAAATTGAGTCTGAATTGGCTGAAGCTTTTCCCAATCTTAGTCACATGACTTCGCGTTCCTCGCCCACGCGTTTCCCGCGCTGAGCACTTTGGCGGCACCCAACAACTGCGCTTTGCGGATTCCGAGCATTGCACATTTCGCCATGACAACTGATAATACGCACGGGCTCTCTGAGTTCGAGAAACAACGCCTGGCGAATATTGCCGAGCGCGATGCCCTCTTGAAGAAGTTGAGCTTGGAGGCGCAATCTGTGGGCCTCTTCACCCCCAAACCCCCCGGCAGCAATGCGCCGAAGCCGAAGAAAAAGGCGCCCCCAAAGCGCATCAAGGAAGAAGAGTCCCCGCTGCCTCGGCGTCAGTCGTCACGTCTGAGGGGCCTGACGGCTGACAGTGAGGTTGTGAAGCGCAAGGCCGAAGAGCAGTATGAGGCAGCCAGGGAGGCCGAGCGCGCTAAGAAGGTCCGAAAGACCGACTCATACTCTGCGAATGATATGTTCATTGCTGGGCAGAAGCTCGACGGAGATAGTTTGATTGGTGTTGATGTTGTGAACAAGGGTGTCGCAGAGCCCTACGTGCGGACTTTTGGTGATGAAGACATCAAGAAAACCACAGACAAGGATTTGAAAGCGTTGCGTGAGGAAATGAATGGATTGAGCTTGTGGAGCCAATGGGACCCTCAAAGTATGAACTATATTCCAACATTGCACGCAAGTAATAGCCGACTGACATATGGGATTTCTATAGGGATCAAGATCACGCCCGAGCGAGTCTATGCCATGGCATTCCATCCTTCCGAGACCAAGCCCTTGATATTTGCCGGCGATAAGATGGGCCATCTCGGTGTCTTCGACGCATCGCAAGAGAAGCCAGAAACAGGAGACGACGAGGATGACGACGATCCGGACCCGGTTCTGACCACACTCAAGCCGCATACTCGAACGATCAGTGCTATGATGGTGCACCCGTCACAGCCCACACGCTTGTATACTGCGAGCTATGATAGTTCTATCCGGGAGCTGGACCTCGAAAAGACTACTTCAGTGGAGAAATATGGCCCCGAGTCTACAAACATCGACGAAGCACTTTCAGGGATCGATATGGCCCTCGAGGACCCAAATACGTTGTACTGGACAACGCTGAATGGTACCTTTGGGCGTTATGATATGCGCAGCAAGCTTTCAACGAAGACAGTCACTCATTGGCAGCTTTCTGAGAAGAAGATTGGTGGCTTTTCTTTGAATGCGTCACAGCCGCACTACTTTGCGACAGCAAGTTTGGACCGGACAATGAAGCTGTGGGATCTCCGTAAGCTGTCGACTGATGAGCCAGTACCAGTTGCCGAACACGAGAGCCGTCTCTCAGTCTCACATGCTGCATTCAATGCGGCTGGTCAAATTGCTACTACGTCTTACGATGATACGATCAAGCTTTATGACCTTGGGACGAAGGGTATCTCATCGTGGAAGGCAGGCCACACCCTCTCAGACAAAGAGTTCCGCCCTGACACTGTTGTGAGACACAACTGTCAAACTGGTCGTTGGGTAACCATGTAAGTTTCCAGATTACCTCTCTACGCAAACGCCACGCTGACCTGCTTTTCCTAGTCTCCGCCCTCAATGGCAGATGAACCCCCAATCTCACATCCAGCGATTCTGTGTTGGTAACATGAACCGCTTTGTCGATGTCTACAGTAGCTCCGGTGATCAGCTGGCGCAGCTTGGCGGTGATGGAATCACTGCTGTTCCTGCAGTAGCTGTATTCCACCGTAGTAAGAATTGGGTAGCAGGTGGCACAGCTAGTGGCAAGGTCTGCCTCTGGATGTAAGATTGTATCAAATTTCAGAAACCTTGGAGTTGGCGAGGTTGTCGGTGGCTGTTTGGGTATCTTTGGCTTTAATGTACAGTGAAGTAAACATGTGAAATTTTCTTCTAAGCATGACTCTAAACAAGATTTATATGACCTAGCCCACTCTACCAATTGGCTACAGGTAGACATAAAGGCAGGATACATCATATTTTGAATACTGATAAAAACGATCATAAACCGCTGCACAATCTCTCCACCTGGCATGCCAGAAAATTTCGCTTTCGGTTTTTCATTTATACTTTCGTGACCTAAAGAACCTCTTTATTAGTCCAAATCGGCCTTAAACAAACATTACTATTATCAACCGACCTTGAACGACTTGTAGACCTGCGATGAATAGCCGAAAAGATCCCCGGTCGTCTCGCATTGACCAGTTGCAGGCTCATTATAATAACCGGAGGTGGCGCAATCAGTCTTGGAATAAACCAGGATTTTAAAATTGTCATCGTTGAAGGTAGCTTCGACGGCCGTGATGGAAACGGATGAGTCGATGTTTTGGCAACTCATGGCCTTACTATCGCTGAAGGAAGCAATCTCTTTGGCACTCTTGCAGGCTGTCCCTTCGTAGAAGGCGAGGTCCCAGGCTTGAACAGCGGAGGAGATAGCGAGAAGGGGCAAGAAGCTAAAGGCCTTCTTCATGATGACAACAGGTGGGAGGGAAGGGCTGATTTGAAAAAGAGTAAAAATTCTGGAGCTTGTGAATAGTTTTCGAATTGTCAGGATCCTATGAGAGGTATTTATAACTTGCTAGTCTGCTCTCAAGACTATCAGCACAGAAAATGGCTGCCCTTTCCTCAACCCGGCACTCTGGCATATGCTAAGGGAACCATCAAAATCATGCATGCACCTTGTACACGGAATCTCAAGGTCTCCAACCTCTGCTACAAAACACTACTAGTAACCGAATAGGCGCTAATAAGCTCCGCAGCGTTACGCAAGCCGTAAGCCACCGACATCTTAGTTAGCATAGCCGCTTGATCCTAATCTGAACAGTTGATCACGCTAACTAAATGCTAGGCCTCTCCAGGACTCAAATCCAACATCGGTGCGGTCAAGTGTGGTCAAATCGGCCACCAAGGGTATAGTTGAAATCTGGGAGCTTCAAAGCGTACGCAATTGAAATGCATCCTCGGCATCACCGAAGCTATATTAGCGAGGTCTGCGCTAAGCTTACATACTCTGTACCTGGAGCTAGGTTGGAAATTGTTTTCGACAACCTAAAAAATCTCTCCATTTGGTAAATCGGCGCACAAACACGTTAGTGAAGCCATAGGCTATGCAGGATTTTCGGGTCACAGTTACGCTGCAAACAATATCAAAACTACAACTCGTGACGACAAGGCCCTAGGGTAGGGTCATGTTTGGCTTTGATCATACCACAATACAGACCTAGCTTTTTAGGACCCGCAGCCACACTCAGATTTGGTGGGACTGCGGCAGATATGTTAGGATCGGCCCGGTCGAGGTGGGGGTGAGAACTTAGAGAAGCTGATTTCTCACAGACACTATCGTGGTTTCTGTGGGGCGGAAGGAGACTACCGTACAGTATGCGCGCTAATCAGCAACAGGTAGTTAGTTGAACGCCCCGGGACTTCCGATTTACAAGCTAAAATTTTGTACGCAGGTAACAAGAACACGGTATTAAGAATACCGGTAGAACCAAAAATGCTCCACAAGCTACCTTCGGATGTTTAAGCGTAATTACAGTATTCACCGTTTTGGCGCTAGATACGCTATGCACTAGATGGGGTTGACAGCTGAACCAAAAGCATACGATAGTGGGCATAAGAAAAGCCAACGCCCGCGTAACGTATCCCCCAAAAAATTGGCAGATAGAAGTACGTGTAAAGAGTAGAGGGCCCTTGGAGATTGCATCAGAAGTTGATTGAAGATATATGGATTCTGAGAGATCAACGCTACAGTAGGTGTGCACCTTACTAAACCCACTATTCGCTTACCCTACTGAAGCAACTGCGGCCCCCTCGTTCCTGAAGGTCGTAATACCTAATAACACTAACTGGCCTTCTAGAAAGTTAACTTATATAATCTAGGAATACTAGGGGTTAGAGTACTAGGCACACCTAGTGGTACAAACTCCTATTGAATAGCTTGCCCATTTAGGTTAGCCATTAGATGCCAGATAACTAAGGCTAACGCTGCTTAGAAACCGTGGCCGAAAAGGGTATAGAACTAGGTATCCGTCGGTGCTTGTCTTAGCATCCCCCATCCCCATCAATAATAAATCCACCACTAAAACTAGAGCCCTTAGGAATAACCCCTTCTACCTTGAGTTCTTAGAATTTAAGTCATCAGGAACGTAGTTTAGATTATCTTGATAAAACTTCCTAAAAATGCGATCGAATTATTCCAAGATTTAACCTACTTAGGGGAAGATTTTAAGCCCATCGCGCCAAGACTTTCTTAACTATGAGCCCCCCACCCGAACGTCTTTAATCAAATAGTTTAAAGCGGCGTTAATTCTTTACCAAATACCAAAACACCTTACCCTTTCGGATTACAATATATCGACATGAAGATAGTTTTGCATAGTTATTCGTAGAATGTGATTTCTTAGCATGAAGGATAATACCGCGTAACTACCATAAATAGCGTAACTGATCGGAGATGGCGATTTACTTGCGACAGAGATCATGGGAGACACGAGACTATAGGAGACGAAGTAACGAAAGACTAGTTCGAGGTGTGCCCGAAATAATCTGAAAATGCAAACAAGGGACCAGCTTTATTGGAAGCGGCGCTCACTAATTGTAAAAGATGTAAGCACCAATATGGCACTAATATGGCGGTCGTTCTTGGATTATGAGATGCCTTGAATATTCGGATGACAAGAAAGGAGCTGTCATCTGAAATCTATCGCATTATCCTCGAAAATACAACCTTAGAGTCAGTTCTTTGAGCTCGCACATTATAGATTAGTGTTGTAAACTGTCGAAGACTGGCAATGCGCGGCGCACAGGACCATCTTGTCAGCCTCGCCTCTGGACAGAGACCTCGTATTCAGAACCCTTGACTGCCGATCAAGTTCAAACGCATTGACCCGGTCGAATCTTATTTATGCCAATGCCCTTTTCTTTATTTTGAACTGCGCCGTGCCCCCAACCCGCTCAATCTTCCTGTCCCATGCGAAACGCAGCCTCCACCTTAGTAGACACAGTCAACCCCCTCGATCTTGGATCATTACAACTCCTAGATGGCGACTGCTCTGACCAACTTTGCGTTTACCTCTAGCCTATCGGGTTTTGTATGTCCGACATTCTACAGTTGGTGGCTCTGCCCGCCCCCTAATGCCTGCGCACACGATGCCGATACCGGGAGGATCTATTGCTGCAACCAGCAGGATACTTCTGTATGTTGGACTATTTCGATAGAATGCGCAAATGATGGCAGCACTCTCGGCTGTAAGAATGCAGGTCAAACCTGGTGTTGTGTTAATGAAAAGTTAGCTCCATTCCTCTCCTAACTTTTGCTATTGGACTGCTCGCTGACTGCATTTTCTTATATGAACAGAGAGACCTGCATCACAGCCAGTGGCCGATATAACGTGTGCTTTAGCAAAGCTCAAGATATTCTGTTTGACATTAGCGCTGAGGCGCTTAATGCGACGTACTCGTACTTGGCCTCCGCTTCGCCATCTGCGACCAGCTACACTTTCGACCCCGCGAAACTGGGTGCCCACGCGACCTCATCTTCCACCTCCATCTCCTCTACCGCCAGCACAGGAAGCATAAGCACTGGAACCACTGCCTCAACTGCTCATCCCGCGACCAGCGGACAGAGCACAGTAACAGTAGTTGCCTCCACCTCCAACTCCCCCTCGTTGTCAGGCGGGGCCATTGGAGGAATTGTCGCTGGCGCGGTAATTGCCGTGATGATCATACTAGGGGCCATTTACCTTTTCCTGAAGCGTGGCCGCTCACAACAGGCACCTCCAGGTCCAGGCGCTCCTCTTCCAGGACCGGCACATATCATGCCGCCCCCAGATCGCACATTGGAGGCTGAGTGGAAACCTGTTTATGAAACAGGATATACCGAGCGGCCTTATGAAGTGGAAGGGCTGACGAAACAGGTGCACGAAGCCGGTGGGCTGTCGTCTACCAGACATGAATTACCGGGTCATTGAAAGTATGATTAAATTAAGTTCTGGAAGACTATAGCGAGGAGCAGGATAAGCTTTGAAATATGTTCAGTTTATTCAACAAATTTTAAATGCCTCCCGGGATATCAAAATGGATGGAATGATTCTCAGCGTAGGGGTAGCACCCGAGATTTCGCTCCCGGGTTCAATGCTAGCTATCATAATTCGATTCTATTATCTTTGGTCACGCCCAGTAGAGATGGTTAAATTCCGTGCAATTGGAATACTGGCCTTCTTTTCTAAGGTAAGAAAAGGGAGAGCTAGGTCGCTAGACCTATACTAAGTGTCATCAGTCTTCATTCGGGTAGCCACGAGGGAGTAATTACAAGGGAGTCTAGCTATAATATAACAAGCTAGACTAATTCAATCCTTTTTAGGTTATAGTAAGAACCGTAAAGACTCTAGGAAACTAGAACCAGACCCTCAAAATTCCGGAGTGTTGGCCTTTACTTTGCGAAATGTAACCGGAACGTGGTTAGTGTTACAGCTCAAGCACGAAGATATTAAATCAATATGGTAGCATTCAACGAAGCAATTAAACATAGGGAAGGAAAGAAGGACAGAGTGTGAGAGAATGAGACCTAAATACATACGGGATGCCTGGTATACTACCTTTACCTCCTTACGGGAGCGCCGTGCCTATCGATATCAAAGAGGATAGCTAATAATGGGCTCGATGTACATAAAATAAGGCATTGATCTATACGATACTGTTTCAATTCACGGCTAAAGTTTCAGGACAGAATGTATATCTTTGGACAAGTATAGGGCAGAGGGCTACTGGCAGTCGCAAAGGCCTATGAATTGAAAATCAATTAGGAGGGGCCAGCTGAATACGAGTTATAAAACCATTCAGAACGAATCAAGCTATTGCTCTTTACTCACTGAATCAAAAGCCCTATGCAACAAGCTCAAAATACTTCACAAAATCCGCGTCCTGCTTCAACAACTCATGCTCCTCCGCCGTTACCTGTAGATGAATATCAAACACCCTCGTCGAACCCCGCGAGAAATTTGGCAAAATTACAGCACAAGCCCCGGGAATCGGCGCATGCAGCCGCAAAGCAACGGGGACAACACCAGCCCCAAGATCATACTTCTCCGTACTCCCCGAGTGCCAGGTATTCATAAACACATCCATGTCCGTGAAATCAGCATGAGAGCCTAGAGTCTCCGTGAGCGAGAGGGATGATACGAGGGAGGTCATATGGCTGATTGAAGCCAGGTCAACGGAGTTGATAGATTGGCGAATTGACGAGGCGGCAGTTGCTAAGCCTCGACTTCCATCTGATACCAGGGCTTGGGCGTCTAAGGGGCCTGCTTGAGCTCCAATGACGGCGTTGCCAAAGTATTGTTCAGAGGTTGTATGTTCGGGGTCTCGAGTTCGAACGTCGATAGGGTGGATGAAGCGGGAAGGAGAGGTCGTCTTTTCCGGGTGAAGACTGAGTCGTGCGCGAGTGATGGATCTCCAGACAAGCGCGGAGATACAGTCGTATGAGGAGATATATTCCACGCCAGTGAGGTAGGGACAACATTGGTCTTTGATATCCTTGATAGCCTCGTCTGAGATTCGGTAGATCTTCGGCTGGGACGGGGTTGACGAGGGTGGTTTGAATTGACTCTTTTCCATGACGTAGAAGATCCGAAGACTCTCTAGGGAATGTTGTCTCGAGTAGTTTGAAAGGTCTGCAGGCTTATTATAGGGGACCCTGTTCAAATCTGGCGTAAAGCTCGGCATCTTGAGACCTTCCTGGTGTGCTTTGCAGCTTTGGCAAATCAGAGACAGGAATTTATCAATTGAGGACCAATCCCCGGATGCATGGTTGACTCGGAGTCCAAAAACGAGGCCACCTTCGATGAAATTCAATTTCAAAGCACAGACTGGCTTCTTATTCTCCGGGGCTTGGGGAATGAATTGAGTGAGATCCAATGCATCAGGAGCGAACGAGCTTTGCGCCATGGTGGAAATAGATTTGTGTTCTGCGGAGTCGAATTGGTGAACTTCGAATTTGAGCTGGCTTTCGGGCGACTTGACGATGCAGAGTTTGCCGGTCTGTTCAAATTGCAAGTCTCCTGCCATAAAAGGTAACTGGTCGAGTGCGTTTCTCAGTCCTTCTTCCAGAGACGAGATGAGCTCCTTGGAGTTAACCGTGGGGGGAATTTCATAAAACATGGCGACAGTCACCTCCTTGAGAAATCCTCCTTTGTCCAAATCGGACAGCTCATATTTGAGGATTTCCGCCATGGTTTTATTGAATATAGGAATAAATTGTCTTGATACTTCCACAAAGTTGGTACAGACATGAATGTCTTTTATATCATTCTTGTCAGCTTCGGGCACTCCTTTAAGTAACTCGCGCGAATTTCGATCAGCCCCGCTTAGTCTGAAATACTTAAGGCGACCAACTAAAAAGTAGATCCACTGCCCAATTAACCCGAACATCTTGAATAATCATGGTTTATACAATCTATTGCATCCGTTGAGGAGTCCACATCATAAGTCCTCCCCTTGGTGGCCCAACAACCATAGAGTATGGGCCTCGCATCTCAAATCCCAGCGATCGGTAGAGCTTCTCTCCGTCTGCACTAGCCTCCAATCCAACTACAACATCCTCTTGCTGAGCCCTTTGCATAGCCTCTGCCATGAGCGTCTGACCAATTCCCCGACGTTGATGCGACGAGGAAACCACAAGACCCTTGACATGCCAGCGATTCCCATATTTGGCCTTCATCTCATCAGATTCCCAATACTTTTCGCTATCCCGCTGAGCTGATTCGTCGAATTGCCGCGCCGCATCGTGATCGGTGGACCGGTCAGGCCAGAGATAGTTTACTATTGACATTCGGGTCTGAAGCAGCCAGTGAAATAGTCTGCGCCAAAGGGTATCCCGGGTCGCAATCAATCGTCTGGCAGGCTCATCGTCTCCCAAACGAGTCAATTGAATGTAGGCTACGGGCTTGTCGGGACTGGAAGACTCCACGGCTACAAAGCCAATTGAGCGAGGGTCAAAATGTCGGACTTGAAATATTTGTAGGAAGCGTCTGTTGAAGTGGTGGGGATATTGATGGCGATACGGGCAGAGGAAGTCGCTGTAAACCGAGTCTCGATACACGGCTGCTGCTATGTTTGCCATGGTGGGAATATCCGAGTATCTTGTAGGGCGAATAAGGATGTTGCTACCTTTTCGCTGAAAGGATGGCATCGTCAAGCCCTTTGAAGATGAGTCCATTGTTGCGGTTTGAGAGTTTGTGCAACTGGGTTTCCCTGGTCTGGGAGTGGTATTTAGGTCCAAGCGGAAGGTCTGAGATGTCAAGTACTGAAATCAGTCCAGATCAGCGGGAGCTTTCCAAAGATATATCTTTTGTATGTCACAAGATTGGGTAGGAGATACGAGGTTATTCCGTTTGTTTTCGGTGTTGCCTTGCGATTCCAAGGATTTAGGTTGGCTAGGCCCCCCTCGCACTTCTCGGACTTCTCGGACTACTTCCATGGAATGAACTTTACCGAATCGGGTGTCCGATCATTCCAATGTGTAGTGTATCTTACCTCGTCCAATCAGACTATTATTTTCGTAATCAGATGTTTTTTTCCAGATAAAGGGATTCCGAAGAAGATTATTGTCTTCAATGTTATCTTTGCTTCTGAGTGCCACGACTGTTCTATACTTCATATTTTTACCGAAAATCATATCTTACATAACATATCTCAAGGTTTGGCACAGAAAATGAACCTGAAATAGATATATTGAGTGGAGTTGAAGGTTCAGACCAAGCAAGACCCTTATACATCAGTAATTCACAGTCGGATCCAAAGAGATAACATCCGACTCGCACCATTGCAGCGAAGGCTGACTATTGAACAAATGCCACATCAACTCATCAGCAACAGGTTGCATTCCAACATTAGCATCCGACTGTTGATGTTGTGGGTTCGGCTGCGCAGCAGAGTCCAGATACGAGGCTGCCAAAGCAAGAGACCCATCTGGAACAGCCATGGCCTCTTGCTGCTCGCCATTTGTAGTCGGATACCAAGGGGCAACCTTGGCTTGAGGGCCAAGATGCTGCTTGGTTTGAATTAAAGGCTCGCAGAGGTGTTGCAAAGTATCCAAGAGTTTGAGTAACCTCGCTATGTATGGGCTGGCGTTGAATGGGGAGAGACTCTGGGTGATGTCTTGGATGAGGCGATAGTCATCCATGTCTAACTCGCCGATTATGTTGCAGAACAGGACAAAGAATGGACTGAGGGGGTATAGGAAGATAGTCCTAAGACAAGTAGACACGAATCGTCAGCGATTTCAGACCATGAGTCGTCGAAATTAGAGTAACTAACTCACCACGTAAGAAATGTTGGATATGGGTCCACGAAGCCTGGGCTTTTGGCGAGATGTTTTAGGAGATACTGTAGTGCTTTCAAAGCTTTTCGGGAATATGAGACACATTCTCTATGCGTCAATGGAGAAAATGCGTATCTCAACCTTGATCGGAGAATGTCCACCAGGATGGCATAATAAGAAAACTCGGTTGCAACCCATTCACTGTTGATCAGCTCTGGTGCAGAGTTCCGGCTCTGGAAATAACAACGGAGTCAGAAGAATGTCGTGAAATTGTTCAACTTTGCAAAAACCCACCGACTGTAGACTGGAGTATATTGAGTTCATCCTTTCTTGAAGCTTGGAGTGATTATCCAAGATTTGCCGGGTATCAGACACCTGGCAACAGCTCAAAAGGTTCCCTTGGACCTGAGCTAGATCCACAAGGATACGTATTATTGGCATGTGCGGAAGAGCATTATTCCAGCAGACAAGGTCGCTCGCTGAACTGTGAAGTTCCGGTAGTGATGACGGCCGATGAAGAAGGGAACTTAGAGTCCGATCAAGGTAAAAACACCAGTAGACAGAACTATTAATCTCCTCCTCAAGATCTGGATCGGACTTCCGGGACTCGGCATTATGGTAGTTCAAAGCAGCAATCAAGCGAGCGGCGTAGGAATTTAACACCCAAGCTTGACTCATGTTGCCAAGATATTGCATTAAGAAAGTCTATGCAGAATGAAAACGTCAAAAAGCCTGTTTGTGTGATATTGACCATGAGACTTACCGCGGAGATCAATGCCTGAATGAAAGACAGGCTCGGGGTGTTCAGGAAATTAAGATTCTGTAACGCATGGAGGGCAGAGGCGGCATATATTCTCTTCGACTTGAGAAATTGTTCGTTCATAACTGAATCGTTATAAAGCCTGGGCATGCTGTATGTGTGAAAGATGGCTCTCACGTAGATGCAAGTGCAATACTGGTAGAATTTTTGGCCTGTGAGATTGCCGCCGAAGAACTTGGAGACCATCTTTTGTAGGGTTTTGTCAGAGATGTGATCGGGCCAGTGAACGTTATGCGACATTCCGGTCGTGACGGTGGATTCTGCCTCGTAGTTAGCATAGACCCAGGAGACGTCAACGTCGTTGAAGGAAGATGTTTGAATGCCAGTACCTCGGAGAAGCATGTACAGCAGCTCAGGCGTTGGTTCGATGGATTCAGGAATATCCGGGCAATCATCATGCGGTACATCAAATGTCGGAGCCTCGTCAGACGGCGAATCGGCCCCACGCGCCATAGAATTCACAAATTCTAGAGCAGATTTGAGAATTGCTTGACGCTCACGGTTCATACGTTCATTGCCGTCGAGTTCACTCTGGATGATGACCCGGGCATGTTCCGCGTGGTGAGTAGACTCATCCGGGGTGACCACTGGGCAATTACTGAGGGGAGACTTGGGTGTTTCCTTTGCAGAAACGACATGATCAAGCTTCCTTTTCTTGGAATAAACATCTATCTCAGTTTGGTATACTCCATTAGATGGACAGGAGTTTTCAGTGCTGTCCCGTAGTGTCAGTAATGCCGTATATCATGACAGGAGGATAGGTCTGTTCATACTCGTGTGGTCCCGAGACTGCTTTCTCCAGCCTCAGCAATCTCTCTCCCAATGAAGAGATACTAGGACAATCAGTGGCCATTTGAAAGCAAGGGATATGTCATATATGAAACCTACACAGTCGGCTTCTGAGGTCGAGCTGGCCGTTCAGGGCGTTCACGCCTACACTCTGCTCCCGCATCGGCGCAGTTTGAACATTGAAGCCGCCTATCACATCGTACCTGCAGTAATACCGTCAGCCAATGACCAAACTATAAGTTTAAACAAGGAACAAAAGCCAGACCTTTCTCGTATGGCACAGATCACACTGAGTATCCTATCCATCAGCTTCCTCTCGATCCATATAGATCCGCCAAAGATCATGTGATCCACGAGCTCAGGTCACTTACGGCGCGCAAAACATCGTCATTCATTCCGCAAACAAGCCGCACCGAAGACGACTAGTCAGTAAATAAACTAAAAGAGGGCCCGAGGGGCTAAAATACAAGATTCATACCAGTGAAAGGTTTTTAGTAGCTCTACAACGTCGTCCGGACTGTCCGAGGCGGTACTGAGTCAGACTATTTCCGTTTTGGGTCGGGATTCCGAGCGAATGGGGAACTTGAAACTTGGTGATCTCTAACATGATCAATTGATTGGTGACAAATACCTATTCTTGCGTCGGATACTAAGATTTAAGCTAGGAATCTAGAACATCTTGCTATTACGGGCCTAGCAGGCATTGAGTTAAATATAGGTTACAACTACAGAACTACATTACAAGCAACACGAAGCTTTCAATCACGCTGAGAACAAGAGTCCATTCCGTCTATTCGAGGAAAACCATCAGATATATACACGCTGGCAACAACCATTGACCACACGCACACGCACGAGCACACCAAAAGTGCATCGCCACGCAAAACACCCACAGAACACAAGCTCAAGGCTTTTCTTATACAGGCCGAGCGTCCATTGAATCGTATAAGTGTATGATGGTCTTTTTTTAACTTTTCCTTACTCTCAAAAGAGCTGAGTGATGACCGGCAGACTAGCCGACCTGGCTGGCTGGCGAAGGTTGGAAGGCATGTATATGACATGGAAGGGGATAGATGAATGGATAGAGGGTTGGGGAGGAGCAGGGGTTTCAGAGACAAGAACAGAATCAAGAGAGAGAGGGGAAGAAAGAAGAAGGGTATCAACACCGTGACACATGCTGGAGAGAAGATCGGAAAGAGCAATCCATGTTCAATCCGACCGGAAACTTGAGATTGAGGAGGATATTGGCGGAGATAGTGAAAGATGAGAAATGGGAAAATGAAGCGAGCAAAGGAAATGGAGCGTGGACTTCATGAGCGCATAGACATAGAGGAGAAAGCCACGAGGACCAATGTAACAAGGTCACTAGGAAGTGTTTGTTGTCACTTAGAACTCGTTCCGGAGATCCTCCTGCGAGTGATGCTGAGACTGATCTCGGTCCTTCTTCCGACGTGACGGCGCAGGAACAAAGTCGAAGAAGCGGTATTTGCTAGAAGACTCTTTAGTGACACTGGACCTGCGGGCCTTGGCGGTCTCCGAGAATTCAAGAGAGTAGGTCGACGAGTTTTTGGAACTGCCGGTGCTATCACGAGGATCGGACCACCGAGGAATGCTGAATGGCACGCGAGACTGGTCCCAAGTTGCCGAGGATGAGCTGGGCGGCGTGTCATCCGCGTTATCTGGTGGGTTATCGGTCGAACGACGGGGCATGGTCGGACGAGTGGCGAAGAAGCCAATTGAACCGCGATGGCCGGGAGTGTTCGATGCAGAGGATGAGGAGACTGGCAGGTTGCTGGTTGCGAGTGATGGGTCTGGAGCTGGAGTGGCAGGTTTACTTGAAGTCTCATCGTAGAAGGTCACTGTTCGCTCCATAGAGTCCACCAATTCCTCCCATTTGACCTCCAGGTTCCCACTCGGCCGTTCCGCCTGCTCAGCCTCATCAAGGCAATCCTCGGTGCGTTCCTGCAGCTGCATGGCCAACTGATGGAACTTGGACAGGAAGGGGTCCACTTCCTCAAGCTCGGACAATCGCTCTGGAACCACTTCCAACCAGATACGAATCAAGTTCGCAAAGCAACGGGCAATATCGATCAGGAACGGAAGACTGGGGAAGCCCTCGCGGGAGGTAGCTGGCAGGCGCCCAAGAATCTGGAGAGGGGTGGTATAGGAAGGCGTGATCATAGCAGCCGGTCGCTCTGCTGAGATGTTGCAGATTTGGTCGACGAATGTCTTGAAATCGGAGCGGTTACCGACTAGGAACTTATTCATTGGCTCCATCCACGGCTCTTTGTTGCCGAATGTTGTCATGTTAGCCAATCCTTGAAGAGCCTTGGCAATGAGCGTTAGAGTGCGTTGAGCCCGAGGACGAGGGTGGTCTACAGTGCAAGTTAGCGGGTTGAACTCAAAAAATTTGGCTCATCCATCACGGCATGACTTACCTTTCAACAGCCCGAACAGCTTCGGGTTCAGGATAGCCGGGCAAAAGAACCGCAGAAACAAGAAGCCAGAAACACTGCTGTATGTCACAGAGCGGAGGAAATCACCGTAACGATCCTCTGCGCAAGCTCTAACGTGCCGGAAAATGCGCCGCAGCTCGGGAGGACAGCGAGAAACGGACATTGCGATTGACTTCCACACACCGGTAGTAAGCGAAATCAGGTTGCGCCAGTTGCGATCGAGGTCTTCTGTGCGTGGCACACGAGCCGGATCCACCTCGCACTCTGGATCGCTCTCATCGATTTCCCGAATTCGTTCTCCGATGGTCTCTTCCAGGTACTCCTTGCCAAGTCGACGCATGTGCAGATCGAGGGCCTTGGTGAGAAGTGAATTTCCACGGAACAACAAATTCGCTTCAACGGTGGCCGTTCGTCCCATATCTCTCACGAGAATCTCCCGGTCGTGACCAGACTCGCGAGAGTCATTAGAATGGATCCTTGTCGTATAGCGCAGACGGTTCGCAGTGGATTCCTTGTGAACACCATCAATTTCGTCTTCGACCAACGCAGAAATCCAATCCACGGTTGCGCCGGAGACCTGGAAGATGTTCAAGAGCATTTCGGACAGCTGAGTCAATTCGGATGACATGACCTGAGCCATGTTGATTGTCAGACCGTTGGTGAAGGCGTGGAGTAGATCGTGCATCTGCGCGTATTCTTCGGACATCAAGACGACCGTTTCCTCCATTCGGGCTTTCATGAACATCTCTCCAACAGCCTGATCCTGATCGTCCAAGATGGGCCACCACTTCTCTGTATCTACGCCAGGATCTAGCTCCTCAAGGCGCAGGTCAACTCGCCCAAAGATTGCGTCGTTGGTGGAGATCTCGATCTCGTCCAGCATATTGGCTGCATTGCCATCTTGGCTGGAATATGTCCCATGCGCGATTAAGGTCCAATCTCTTTGCGTGGGGTTGAGGGTTTTCACTAGGATAGAGGCTTGAGAGAGGACAGGCGGCAGGTCGTTGAATGTGAAGTCCTCGCGCCAGAATGGATTCGTGGTACGATATTTGACGGCTGTCTTGGCGCGAATTTCTCCATCCAGAAGCACCTCTGTATAGTAGTCGCTGATTTTGGGTGGCGATGGGGCGGAGTGGCCATGCGACCTGGACATTTTTCGACTGCGAGGAGTTTCTTCTCCTTTGGCTCGGAAAAGTTTCGCTTCTGTAACTCTGAGGTTAAGGATACGCTCGATTCGGAACATGTCATGGGTATGGTGTGTAGGGGACTGGGCCTCTGGGGTCTTGTTGGGATCCTCTTCGTTGTCGGGTGCCTCGGGGCCGTAAAGCTCCGGGATGGTAAATGCACGCAATAGCACAAACCAGACCTCAAAAATAACGCGGCTCTCGAGAGCAAGGTATATAGGACGCATCCCAGGGTCGGGAACGGGGTGTGCCGTATACTGCGGGTAAATCGCAATACAAAACTCATCATCCAATACTGACGAGTCCAATTGCTGGATTGAACACCTCGATAGTTGAGAGAGCTGGACTGTTGCCACAAGGGTGACGTCTGACTCGGTATAAAGCTTGAAGAAACCGTTCTCCTGCAATGTACAGCTTACCCGCTGCCATGAAGAGTTCAGGGCCCTGGATTGTCGATATGTAGATACTCGACGGACTGAAGCAGGACGGGCTCCAGATGCCGAGGGCTTATCCCACAGAAGCATCTTTCCAACCTTGATAATGGCTGCATCCTTCTGTGCAGCACTCTCCGAGTTTCGTCGACGCTCGGGAATACGGCGATCGCCAATGACAACGGCTTGGGGTTTGGTCATCTTATTTTGAACACCCTTTGGTCGGATGGGCTGCCAACAAAGCAATGCCGCTAGCCAAGAGTCGAATGTCTCGTTCACGTGGGGTCGTAATTGAATTCCGAGACCGGAGGTAAAGGTGTTGACACTCAAGTAAGTGGTTTGCAACTCTGCGTCGAACAACGTGCGAACGCGACACCCACGTAAATCTGGTATCAATGTCTTTGCCAGCGCTGGCTCGCCCTTGGCTTGATATATCAGACTACCTGTAGCAACGTTGATGGCGCAATAACCCGATGTCCATTGACTCGCCGACCATGAGTTGTTTGTCGCCGTTCGAAAAGAGAGGATTCCGTGCATTCGGCCGCAAGTTGTTTTCATCAATTGTAGGATTTTGGCGGCATCGGTATTCGATAGGGGCGAGGCAAAGGCGGCTTGGTTGTGTGCGACAGCGCTTGTCAAGCCGGACCCCTGGGATCTGCTAAGTCGTTGACGTGTGACGGCCTGACCAACGTAATTAGGCGAGTGTATTGAAGGGAAACCGATTGAACTTGCGGATTCCTCAGCGACCTTGGTATCCACCATCTTGGGCTGAGACGAGCTGGCCGCATTGACCGATCCGATCCGCGTTCGTGCCTTGAAAGTACTCGGCGCCATGTCTCCCCTTTGCTCCTCTAGAGTTGTTGTTCGTGATCGTGTGCGTTGACTCCTGGCTTCTGTGAGCGTCTCTTCTTCGCTTCGGTCAACTGTCCTTGATCGCATGGTGGTCCGTGGTGACGGCGCGCTCGCACTGTTGCCAGTGAGATACTCTGCGTCGGACAAGGGGGATTGAGACTCCGGGGTCACAGTGCGAATACTCGTGTCACGGAAATTGTCTGGGTAGACCATGCCATGGCGATCCCGGGAGGATGATTTCTTGCTGGGTCGTCGTTCCACGGGGCGGCTGTAGAAGGCCTGGTGCATCGAGCTACGCTTGTACCCATTCGGATTATCAGACTCCATTCTGCGCGGTCGCAGCTCTGCTTGAGATGACGAGCGCGAGAAATTAAGGAGGGCCGGATAGGAAAATAGGAATCGCTCCGTGCGCCCGACACAACCTCACCCTCCGAACCGGTCGGTATCGTATATATAAATGTACTCTCCCGTAGATTCAAAGTCTTTTGAGTTTCGGTTGCTCAGTCGCGCATGAGCAATTGAGAGTCGCTTATATCCACGAGATTGCTAGGAGAACACATGGAGTCTAGCAGAAGGAAGGGGTTCGGAATCGTACATTCGGTCGAGGTTTGGGCGGGATTGATGAGATGGAGACAAAGGTAGGCGCAGGTCACCGTCGTTTGTCCGAGTGATGCAGGGCCTAAAATGAGACAATAAGCATCCACTCCTTCAACAGACCACTTGCGACCGTGTCGCTGCCGGGAGAATGTTGAATCGCGGGATCAGGACAGCCCCGACAAGCTGGTCGTTCAGGGCGCCGTGCTATCGTTCTTATTGGAAGAGGAGGGTGGTGAGGAGAGGGTACAGTTGGGGCAAGGGAACAGGATTGAAGTATGGAGAGGGGGTCGCAAAGGAGGGAAAACGCACACACACCTTCATCAGTCCCTTTTCGAATTGGAGGTCTCGCGTCGGTTTCGCTGGGGGTCCCGGGCGGGTTGCGGTTGGGTGTTTGAGGGGGGTTTGTGTGCGGTGCTTTGCAGATCCCCCAGCTCAAATGGCCCGAATCGGACAGACCAGGAGTAGCAGGGAGGGAATGACAAGCGATTATGCGATGACAGATGGGATGGCGGGTGGTCGATGTTGATACCCTCGTGGTGGTGGTGGAAGGTGAAGAGGGAGGGAGAGGGGGTGGAGAGGGAGGAGGGGGGGAGTGTGGATAATGGGTGAGCTGAGTTGTATAGGGGACACACTGCGACTCCGTGAACTAACCAACCCAACTAACCTAACCTAACTTCCTTCAACCCGTCCCTTTAGGCCTGGTGGATGATCTTCTTAGCTTGTTAGATGATTAAATGAAACTACTTTTGGCATTGCTATTCATATAATCCTACTATCCTGCCGTGACAGCCGTGTAATATGAATTAAGATAGCCTTTCCAGCTCATCAATCTTACCCAAAATTCCATCAATGTCGTCTTTTCATTCTGGGCGAGTTCAATCAATACGCTGCACTATCTTCTCTTGGCCTATTGCACCTTTGGCTAGATCGATTTTATTTGTATTTGACTTGGATGAAGATTTGTCTTCATATTATTGACCGCAATGTGTTTCTAACGACCATCGTCACTCATCTCGCGAAATAAGCCCGAGGAAGATGACTAGACTAGCTCAGCCGTCAAATGGATTTTCCAATAGCCTGGCGCAATGCCGCTAAAAGCAAATCCCTTCAATCCTCAAACTCTATGAAGTCTCCATCTGCACTTTTGCACTTTTACACCTGCATACTATAGCCGACACTCGGCAGTTCGACTTGCAATGGACCCGATTAGCGTCAGACGGCGAGGCCGTTGGGGGGCTTTCCTGTTCTCGTCGCTCCCCAAATGTTCATCCATCTGAACCGAGAATACCGAGAACTGGCACCAATGGGACGGGCCAAGTGCAGAATCCTATCACGCTAAACGGCTCGAAGTGCGAGTGTCGATATTCCCCTACCCCACTAGCCTCCAGAGTCGGGATATGGGGGCCACGCTTTCCCATAAAATCACCAACTGATTAGCCGGGAAGATAGAAGCTGGGATGACCCCCAAATTGCGTGGCCCTGCTAAGGGACCCGACTGAATCATGAGCCGGTGCTCAAAGGTCAAGGACATGATTTCTGGTCGATCACAGCCAGACCCTCCACACTGTCCTTAATCAGCGGTCTGCCGTTAGTTAATTCCTCATCCCTGTCCCCCCAGCGTTTCTCGTTCTCCACGCGAGTCAATGCCAAAAGTACGAGTAGAAGAAGGATCGTTGCACGCATTGTTCGTGCTTCAGACCCCCCGTTGCCCCATAATAGTCAGGGGAGGACAGGGAACGGGGGACAGCATAATGAGTTTAATAACCACACGGAATAATAATCCTCGTGCACGAGGCAAAAGGACTAAACCAAGAACGGAGAAGGTACCTGGTACAAACTTTGGAGTGGAGGCCACTATCAAAGGTCTGGTCACTGCTACCTGGGTCGATTGGCCAGTCAACTTGCGCTGATCTGGTTGTGAAGAGTTAACAACATCCGGTTGACCGCGAGTATCCTAACTGCAAAAAGGTTGATCGTTAGGAAATCCCCCGAGAGTGGAGCCGCTCGGGGCGCCGTGGGTTCCCGGATACTGAGGGAGAAGATATCCTATCAGGATGAAAGGCGGACTTGGAACTGCCCATATCTCCGTTTAGGCGGCCGAACGGGGGACGTGAACGAAGGCAGATTCAGATCGTCGAGGCCCAGTAGAAGTCAGTGCGAGGAGAAACGTCGGGAGATGTGGTCGGGCCCAAATGGTCTAACAAGGCCCAGAATCGAACGACACCGCTATCTGTGCCTCGCAGTGTTCTAGAAGTCAGCGCGTCAGCCAGCCTCTGAAGGTTTCACCCTTGCAGGTCGGCCACAGAATGGAAATTTCGCAATCATGGATGGTCCCCATAATTGTAATAGAATCTTCGGTGGAAGGTCCTCAAGCAGAAGCAGGTGCAGGCGTCTTTACCTCTTTGGGCATCGTCGACCCCGCACAAACCACATGACTCGTGCCGTAATGGGCCACTCTCTGCCTCAGGCTGAAACATATGTCAGCCATTGTTATCAGGCTTTAAGGCTCCAAGGCTGCCAGGCTTCCAACCGCCCTGGATGGAAGCTTATTATGTCATAACGGAGCGGCTCTGGAGATCACGCAGAGCTCCAGTGGTTCTCACGAGACACCATCAGATGCGCGGGATCACAGTATTCCGTCGCACACGATAAAGACCTCCTGTACTCCTCTTTGGTATATACACCAAGGATCCCTCAACTCTCAAACGACTGCATGCGAGCAGCGGTGCGGCGATAAGCTTGAGCGGGTCCTTCCTTTCTCCGCACTCCATTCAGGTGTTGACCATATACGACTGACACACACAGCTGCGGTGATGAGCCCCTAGGGCCACATATATCAGCTTTAATCAGATGGCAAGATGATGTCCTCCAATATCTTGTCTCGCTTCTTACCTCCCACGGACTCACCCTCGGTGTACGAAGCCATACGAGAACACGACGCCGGGTCCGATTCCTCTGATGTCGAAGAGCGCGCGGGGTTGGCCCATGAGGGAGACTATAGGGAACACTTCAGTGATGGAGAGTTGGCGGATGCCCTGGCAGATGCAGCTCGAAGTGAAGCCTCCAGCCCGAGTGCCGGCTTGTTGGGTCCAAGGGCGTCTGGGAAGGCAGCAGCTCGTCATGGTTCACAGTCTCATACTCGTCGGCGCAAGGCTTCGAGGCCGCGGTGGATGAACCAGCCGTCACCAACTGGATATGAACTTGACGACCGGGATGAGGATGTACCGCCGTCACTTTTGGTTGAGGGGCATGACGACGAGGAGTTGAAGTCGCGTCTCCCTCCTCCACCTCACAGCATGCCCAGCCGATCAAGAACCCCCAGTCCTCCACCTCCACCTCAAAACCAACCTGATCTGCCACGCCGCCAAACACGTCAAACGGAAAACATGGCAGGCGCTGCGAGTACTCACCCCGTGGCCCGTTGGTTCATCGCACAACAACATCCGAGCTTAAGCAACACTGACCCCAAGAAGAAAGCCATGTGGCGGTGGGCCAACGTGGAGAACTTGGACAACTTTTTAAAAGACGTGTATACCTACTTCCTGGGAAATGGGTTTTGGTCGATCTTGCTGAGTCGGACCTTAAATCTTCTGTATGCTGAGTTCCTTCCGCTATTTCCCTTTGCTTCGTGATGCGGCCGAACCCGAACGCTAACGAGGGTTCCTAGGACGTTTGCTTTCGTGGTCGGTTTCACGACTTTTCTAACCAACTGCGTGGACTACCACAAAGTTCGAGGCAGCAAGTCCCTGGATGAAATTCTCGTCCCAAAATGCACATCCAAGATGTCTGGGTCGGCCACGTTTTTACTTTGGCTGCTCAGCTTTTTCTGGATTAGCAAGCTCTTCCAGTTTCTACTGGATATTCGTAGACTCAAGCATATGCATGACTTTTATTATTATCTGCTTGGAGTGTCCGATGCTGAGGTTCAGACAATCTCATGGCAAGAGGTTGTCAGTCGCTTGATGACTCTACGAGATGCCAATCCAGCCACGGCCGCCGCAGTCTCTGCCAGGCACCGGAAGTACCTTCGCAGCCAGTCCAAGCAGCGTATGGATGCCCACGATATTGCCAACCGCCTGATGCGCAAGGAGAATTATATGATTGCGCTAGTCAACAAGAACATTCTGGACTTGACCTTGCCGATCCCATTCCTCCGCAATCGACAGCTCTTCTCGCGGACACTAGAATGGAACCTCAACCTTTGCATTATGGACTACGTCTTTAATGAGCAAGGCCAGTTACGAACCATATTCCTCAAAGATACCCACCGAAGAGCTCTGAGCGATGGTTTACGCCGACGCTTTATCTTCGCCGGTATCATGAACATCTTCGTCGCCCCTTTCATCGTGGTGTACTTTCTGATGCATTACTTTTTCCGCTATTTCAACGAATTCAAGAAGAATCCATCTCAAATTGGCTCGCGCCAATATACCCCGCTGGCGGAGTGGAAGTTCCGTGAATTCAACGAACTCTGGCATCTCTTTGAGCGTCGCATCAACATGTCATACCCCTTCGCTAGCCGCTACATCGATCAGTTCCCCAAGGACAAGACCGTCCAACTGGCTCGTTTCGTCGCCTTCATCTCTGGTGCCCTAGCTTCAGTACTAGCGCTGGCCTCGGTGATCGATCCGGAGCTGTTCCTCGGATTTGAAATTACACATGATCGAACAGTGCTTTTCTATCTCGGTATCTTCGGTACCGTGTGGGCCTTTGCTCAAGGAATGGCACCGGAAGAAACCGACGTCTTTGATCCTGAGTTTGCGCTTCTGGAATTGATTGATTTTACCCATTATTTCCCTTCGACGTGGAAAGGCCGCTTGCACAGCGACGATGTGCGGAAGGAATTCGCCGTTTCCTACCAACTGAAAATCGTGATCTTCTTGGAGGAGATCTTGAGCATGATCTTTACCCCCTTCGTCCTCTGGTTCAGCCTGCCAAAGTGTAGCGACCGCTTGATCGATTTCTTCCGCGAGTTCACGGTTCACGTCGATGGTGTGGGATACCTATGCTCCTTCGCAGTTTTTGACTTCAAGAAGGGCACAAATGTCATGTCCCAAGGTCGACGTGATAATGGCCGCCAAGATCTGCGTGCCGATTACTTCTCCACCAAGGATGGCAAGATGCTTGCATCCTACTATGGCTTCTTAGATCACTACGGGACCAATCCTCAAACCAACACTCGCCGCCCATTCCATCCGCCTCCAGGCTTGCCTACCCTCGGGTCTCCCGAACTGGGTGCTCTCCCCGAACGATTTGAATATCCAACTCGGCCTGGTCCAGCAGGTGGACCATGGGGCCCGCAGTCCATTGTTGCCGCCTCCAGATTCCGGGCAGCCCCAACAGGGGAACCCCGCTCACCAGGTCCTTCCATTCTCCTGGATCCGCATCACCAACCCTCTAGCTCTGGCTTCCGCTCTGCGGCCCGCCACGCGCCACATCAACGCTCGCGACTGGCACGGTCACAGCTGCCCATCGCCAGCCCCATTGATGACGAAGATCAGGCGTCTCAGGAACCCCGCGATTCTACATCTCGCCAACCAGGCGTTGCTTCCAGTGGAGGTGCTGGGACTGGTGAGAGCAGCCTGGGTGATTCATGGCGCATGAGCCCTCTTGGCCAAGAGGAGGATGCCGACGAGGGCGATGAGGAAGAGAACCTCGACGCGATTGCCGGGGGTGCTGGCGTACTAGGTCTTATTCAGCAGTTCCAGAAGGCAAACGCTGAGGGTAGAAGGGCGCCCGTGGGGATCTAGTTGATGTCTTGCTTGCAGACATACAAGCTCAGTGCCGGAGTCCAATACATACGCACATATCACGACACGAACTTTCATTTTCCATGTGATTTAGCGATAGGCTAGACGGAATCATGATTTTGCGTGGTTTATTTGTTTGTTCTGTCTTCTTAATATGGTGTGGAGATTCGATATGCAGGGTCCTTTTGTCCATACTTGACGGTTCAAGTCAAGTGGACCACTGCAGGCAGCCATCTATTTGTAGCGTCCTACGTATCCAGATCCATAGTATGCTCCCTTGGCGCCGACTCTTCGCGCTGTATACATGGCATTCACCACATGTATCTATTGTCGTGGCTCTGTAAAGTTTCCAATTGATACCTACGATAGATTAGAGTCTCAAGACCCGAACTATATACGCCTCGCCGAGGTAGATCATATTATTCCGGCCCTGCCGGAGCGAATACGAAGCCCGAGGGGGCTATTTAGTACTAAGGCCGCAATATTTAATTAGCATGCTTACAGCGCATGAATAAACCAATCCTCTTCACCGTCTGCTCTCCGTCCAGGTGCCACTCCACGATGATAGGCCGATCCGCCAGACCCTTACCGATCGCCCCATCTCCTTCCTCCGTTAGTCTAGGTTAGTTCAATACACTGTCACCGTGAGTCAATTCAAATGGCCCTAGACTAGAAGAGCAGAGTCGAATAGTCCTACAACACGTCGGGACCACGTCGGTGCTAGCATCGACGACCCATTTAAATGCAAGACATCTCATGTTTGAGGATGGTCGACGGGGCTGAATTGGCATCCTCCTCCCAAGAGTGTCCACCAGTGAGCGGCCCGAGAGCCGCGGGTTTGGCGACACTCGGCGTCCTTGGCTCGGTCGAGAACCCTGATGGGCTGAGAGGAGGTAGGCTAGACTAGAAAACTTGGATGCCCAGATAACACGACTCAAGATTAGGGATAACTGGATAGGTGTGTTCTAGTACACTGATACAGTAGGTACATAGTACACCTGCACTTGTTTACTATTCATAGCTACGGGACCCTTTGTACAGACCCCAAACCACTGGAAACACCTAGTTCATTAGTAAACGACTGGTTCCTGAATCCGACCCATCACATGTGGATCTCCGCTCCGCATTATTCTCCTTCCTCTGGTTCATTTCGTCTCGTGACATTCAACTCTCCCTCCTCCGCGTCGCGGGAATCTCTTCTTCTCCCTATTCCACTCCTTCTCTCCTCCTCCTACTTCCTCCCCTCCTTCCCCCTCGATCCCTATCCACCCCATCAACTACCAACTACTATCCTCTCCTTTAATTGCCCTGACGGGTGCGACGGCCCGCCATGTTTCGCGCCCGCCGCTACCGCGTCCTGCTCGTTTTCGCCGCGGTCTTCCTCCTAACAACTCTCCATTTCGCCCGGTCGCGCGATTGGAGCCAGACCGCTGTGATCGAGACCCCGGGTGGCGACCATTCGTCACAAGCGGCCGTTTCGAACGAAAATCTACCTAAACCGCAAGCCCCGGCAGAGGATAGCAGCAAATCTCCGCCCCCAACTGTACCGAATAGCAACACCCCTCCGTATCCGCCGCAGAATGAGTTCAAGTCGCCCGTCGGACCGGGTAGTGCGAAGAATGATAAGACTAAAGAGCTTGGATCTACGTCTGGATCGACTGCCTCCGATAATACCCCACCGAAGTCTCCAGGCACCGGAAGCTCGGACAGCTCGGATGATAAGAAGCTTGGAAGCAGCAGCAAGCCCATAATCATAGGCGAATCGATTGATAACCTTCCCGAGGAAATTGACCACGGCGGTACTGGCAGGTTGTCGGTTCAGGAGCACCCCAATGGCCCCGCTGCGCACTGGGTCAAGACACCCGAGCGATTCCCCGTTGCACCGGGTGAATTGATCACTCTTCCCAAGGAGGCATCGAAGGCCATGCCTAAGCTCCAGGCCAAAGCCAAGGATGAGACCAGTGAGGACAAGCAGGAGCGGCTGCAGCGATTGAGCGCCGTCAAGGCCGAGTTCAAGCACGCTTGGGCCGGGTATAAGGAAGTTGCAATGGGACACGACGAGATTAAACCTCTTACGGAGAGTTTCGACGACCCGTTCAATGGCTGGGGTGCGACACTGATTGATTCGCTGGATACTCTGTGGATCATGGATTTGAAGGACGAGTTTTCAGAGGCTATTGATGCAGTCAAGAAGATTGACTTCACTACCTCTCCCCGAGAGGATATCCCCGTGTTTGAGACTGTGATCCGCTATCTGGGAGGCCTGCTCGGTGCCTATGATATTTCTGGTCAGAAATACGAGGTTCTCTTGGAGAAGGCCGAGCAGTTGGCCGAGGTTCTGATTGGTGCCTTTGACACGCCGAACCGCATGCCCGTTCTATACTACCGCTGGACTCCGTAAGTTTCCACAGCAGGTTTATTTTTCCTTGATATTACAGACCTGACTTTCTCCTCCAGTGCCCACACTAAGCGCCCTCACCGGGCTTCAGCCAAGGCCACCTTGGCTGAGATTGGATCCCTGTCTCTGGAGTTCACCCGTTTGGCTCAATTGACGAAGCAGGACAAGTACTACGATGCGATTGCGCGTATCACCAACCGATTGGAAGAATTCCAGGATTCGACCAACATTCCGGGCTTGTGGCCTGTGCGAGTGAATGCACAGGGCTGTGCCAAGTACAGACCTAGTCGGGATGCTGCCATGCCTCTGGAGGACGACTTTGAAGAGCCTGTCCCGACAAATACTACATCCTCGATCGTGGCTACATCTACGCCTTCGTCTTCGCGCACCCATAAGCCATACGCTGCCCCGACTGATCTCGAGAGTTATATCCGCTTGATCCAGCGTGATGATACCGAGATCGATCTCTCGGAAGCAGAGCTTGCACCGTATAACCGCGGCGGTAACAGCGCTAGCAGTGCCAGTAGCGATAGTACGATCAAGGTTACCTCTGAAGACTCGACCTCCACTGAGAAGTGTGATGGTGGCCTAGAGCTCCCTCTATCACTCCGTGATAACAAGTATGGTCTTGGCGGATTGGCTGACTCTACCTACGAATATCTGCCAAAGGAGTACCTTATCCTCGGCGGCGCGAATGACCAGTACAAGAAGATGTACAAGAAGGCGATTGACGCAGCTCGGAAGAACCTTCTCTTCAAACCCATGGTCAAGGGCGAGCGGGACCTGCGTTTCATGGCGACTACCGGCTCGCTTGATCCCACCAAGCCTGGCGTCCTTGCTCCTGGGGACATTGAATACGAAAGCACCCACCTGAGCTGTTTCCTCGGTGGCATGGTTGCCATGGGCGCAAAGGCATTCAGCATTGAGGGTGATCTCGATCTGGCCGCCAAGCTGACCGATGGTTGTGTTTGGGCCTACGAGTCGACCAACACCGGGATCATGCCCGAGCGCTTCCGCCTGTTGCCCTGCAGCAAGGACAAGTCTTGCGAGTGGGATGAGAAGCTCTACCAGGCCGATGTTAAGCGATACTCGCACGTCATCGACTCGGAGGCTGAAGCGCGATTCCGCACTGGTGAGAGTACCTACGGCCAGCGAGTCAAGTTGAATACCGATTACAAGCCCCAAGAGGCCGGTGAGGGCGGCATCGCTGTGCCCTTGCCCATGCCCGGTTCCATGAATCCGCATGATAGCGACCCCGCCTACAACAAGCGGGATGCTGTCACGGCCGGACGGGGCGCAGCAGATCCAGCCCCCAACCGCGAGGCGCCCCGCCCAGCTTTCGTATCGCAGTCCGAGGGCAATGAGATCAACGATCGTCTGCCCTCTGGTATGACCAGCATCTCGGCACCAGAGTACTTCCTCCGTCCCGAGGCTATCGAGTCCGTGTTCATCATGTTCCGATTGACTGGCGATGATGCCTGGCGACGGAAGGGATGGAAGATGTTCGAAGCCATCACCAAGTATACGCGGACGGACCTGGCGCACGCCGGCATTAAGGATGTCACGGCGCCAAAGCCCGCGCAGAAGGATGCGATGGAGTCTTTCTGGACGGCGGAAACGCTGAAGTACTTCTACCTTCTCTTCAGCGATCCCAGTGTAGTGGACTTGGATAAATATGTGCTGTAAGTGAACGTCCTGCTCTGCGTCTTACAAAATAACAAAGCTAACACTTTTTTTTTTTACAGAAACACCGAGGCGCATCCCTTCCAACGCCCGGTTTCATGATATATTTTTTCTTCCCCTTAAGGTTTTGTACTTTTTTTGTTTTAATTTGTGGAAATTGTCCTGCATAGTGATACCAGCGAAAAAAATATGCATATATCCTTGTTTGACCGTACAACTGTCTATTACCATATTACTTTCCCTAGTAACCAACAAGAATCAAGCACACACATTTCAAATAATCCTCGTATTCCAATCCATAGTTGTGCCCCCCTTGAGTAATGTGGCCCGCAAAGTGGACACCGGAGCTAACGACCTCCCCCGCCTCCAACAACACATTCCGCATCTCCAACCTCGCTCTTCTTCCCCCGACACAACAAGACGGGATGAGTGCCCTGACTCGCCACCCCCGAAGACCCAGATCGAGCTCGGTGGGAAATGGAGCCCGAGGTCTCGGAGCCCCAGCAGTTCTGGAATGGTGAGCCTTTACTCCCTGCCCCGCCAATCCTGCAGAGCGACGCCGGTCCTCTTGGGCGAAGTCCCGATGACGGGAGCAGTGATTGCTCCCTCGCGAATAACCCTCAATTAACGGCCTAGCAGAACTCCAAGAGATTGTCTCCAAGCCTTGTGAATCCGAGGATTCGATTGACGATGCGCTCAGAGCGTATCTGAGCTTGACGACGCAGTACAAAGGTGACAACATCGTTCCCTACCTCCCCCTCCTCCGAGTCCACGGCTGGTCTCGTGTCTCCCCGCAAGATCCCTTTCACAACGCTGGTCGCTAACGCTGCAAGCTTTGTTGTGTAGATGACTTTCTCTCGACCGAATATGACATCTCGCGCTGCTCGTACAAGCTCTTTGCATCGACTATCTTCGAGACTCATGCGGACTACGTCCGCCGACAGATCGTCTACTGTCTATTGCAGGTACCTACCTCCGCTTCCCTATTTCGCTCAGCACAACTCGCAAACATAGAACAAATCGCTAATACATGCTGTTCCATGTCTAGGAAGATGATCTGAATACACTACACTTTATCGCATCGTTTCTGCTCTTCGACGGTCGGCAGAATGAAGCGGCTTTGCAGATGATGAATGAGGAGGGTGTGTTTGCGCGCCTCCTTGAGCTGATTCAGTCGCTGCGCGGGGATGATACGGATGGCGGGGCGGGTCTCCACCGGTTGCTTATGGATTTGTTATATGAGATGTCGCGCATTCAGCGGATTAAGATTGAGGATTTGGGTATGTCGCTTGCGTGAGGGTATACCTGTTTAGAATAAGTTGCTGATATGGTTTCTGGACAGTGCTTGTGGATGATGATTTTATACGATGTCTCTTCGACATTATTGAGGATTTGTCCTACGATGTCACGGATCCGTACCATTATCCTGTCATCCGAGTGCTGGTGAGTGGTATCTGTGTCTACTGATATTGGAGGTCGAGCTAATTCGTTGCTTGCAGCTGGTTCTCAATGAGCAGTTTATGATCTCGGCACACGATCCGGTCGATGAGCGGCCGTCTTCTAGTCAGTTGACTAATAAGGTCATCAAGGTTCTCTCTGTCTATGGAAGCTTGTACAAGACTTTTGGCGAGAACATCATTCTGCTTATCAACCGTGAAGGTAATTTTAGCACCCCTTCAGACAAGATTGATACCTCATATCTAACATGCGAATAGCCGAGACATCCCTACAGCTGTTGACCTTGAAGCTGCTTTATCTGATTTTCACCACACCCAGCACCTATGAATATTTCTTCACTAATGATTTGCACGTCTTGGTGGATATCTTGATCCGAAACCTCCTAGACTTACCCGAAGAGGCATCTGCACTGCGGCATACTTATCTTCGCGTTTTGTATCCCCTGCTGGCCCATACCCAGTTACGACTCCCGCCACATTATAAGCGGGATGAACTGAGGCGATTGCTTAGCATTATCGGTCGGGGACAAGTCTCGTATGGAAGTGAGACTGAACAGGAGAAGATTCTCCACTTTGAGGAGGTCGATGATACCACACGGCGACTCGTGGGCAGGTGTGCAACGGTAGATTGGCTACGCAATGTCGAGCCTCCCGAAACCACTACTCCGGTCCAGGAGAACCCTACACAGATCGTCACTGCTACGATCGACACAGTCCTCGATGAGGGGTTACAGCAAGACTCGCCCGTTGATATGGACCCAATTTATGTCACACGCACACTTTCCCATACCAGCACAAACCCCGATTCACCCGGCACGGCATCGCCCACAAGAATGGACTCTCTAGACTCGCGTGGCTCGTCCGAGGCACCCGAGTCTCGACGAAAATTCAGCACCATCCAGCGACTCGGCATGCAGCTTGAGCCGGCATCAGCCTCCACACTCAGCGTACAAGCTGTCGCGGCACAGCACGAGAAGCCTGGCGTCATCACACCCAGCCGCAACGATGGCCGCACCATTGATCTTGTGGCAGAAGCTCCCACCATCCGCCCTCCAAAGATCAAGCCCGAACCACCCAAATCCCGGCGCTGGCGAGGGCGTCGTCTCGCCGCTGACGAAGATGATCAGCACTCCGCCGGCACGAGTAGTGAACGCAACACCATCCCCGAAGGAGTCGAGATCAGCCCGACATCAACACATACTGCGCCCACCACGCCCACCCCAACAACCCCTTCCTCCATAATCAATGCTGCTACGACCGACACAACCACAGACCGGCGTAACTCTACAACCACCTCTCATCTCGTACCTCCAATTCCAGGACACGCACGACGCTCCGCTTCAAATCCACCCCCAGCTCTCCCCCCACCCCGGCGCTCAACGGGAACGACTCCATCAACGAGCCACCACAGACCCGTACCAGTCTCGATAGCCCCTAGCACCAGTCCAGTCGCTGGGACTAGCACCGGTATCACCGTCAATAAGCACGGACAGAAGCCCGCACCGCCTAAAACACGCCGCTGGGGTCGCGGCAAGGCACAGGCACATGCACACACGGACTCCGTCGAGAGCGGAGTTAGTACCGGGTCGCAGGCAAAAGAGAGCGATTCAGAGGCCGTGGCTCTGGCTGTGAGCAGCACGGCAGATGTGCAGGCCGCTAGCGAGGAGGGAGGAACACTATCTGATCCATTCTCGCCGACGAGTCCCACTAGTCCGACGTTGCTTGTCTCGACGGCGGATGGGAAGGGCGAGACCCAGCCGGTTAGTGTTGAAGAGGCTGTGCAGAATGTTTCGTTGCATTGAGTGGGGAGGGTTGGAATGGGCTTGGGAAATTGGTGATAAGGAAGAGTGAAGATATGCATACATAGATATTCATGTATCTTTTCGTCAATATGATCATTGGCTTGAAACGATATCACCGTACTATGCGTATGAATATGTAAGAAAGTAGAGGATTGTTCGCTCGCGCTGGAGTATCGAAGATATGTAGACAAAATAGAAATGATAGAATACAAGTGCCGGGGTCCATAATCCTGTCTTCGCTCATCCGAATGCAAATACAGAACGCATCCTGACTCGAGGTAGCCAAGAACTGCCATACCATGCCTCCCTTCACCATTGGATCCCACGATGAAGGCAAAGATCAAGACAATAGCTTAAAGACATAGAACCCCCGAACCAAATAAAAATACAAACTCCTCCGGACTCACGAGTCACACCTCACAAAATCCCACCTCCCATGAATCCATCTCAAATCTTCAACCCCCAACTCCTCCCAACCCCAACAACTGTATTCCCCCAAAACCCAACCCAAGACCCCACCCCCTCAACCTTCCCCCGAAGCACCTCCTTATCCTCAAACCTCCTCCGCACGAACGCCTCCGTCTCTTCCAGCCCGGGACTCGGATCCCGCGTCATAACTACCTCAGCACTAGCATAAATAGCGCCCAGCGCCATCCGGCGCGCGTACCAGGTTGCATCGACGGCAGAGTCACCAGCCAGCGTGAGGATATCGTTTGACAGGGCGTGCAGTTCGAGGAGGGGAGAGAGGGATGTTTCCGAGTAAGGACATTTGAGCGAGGGCCTGGATTGAGCATGTTAGTATAAAAGAGACAAAGACGAGATTAATAGGGAAAAGAAAGCAGGGAATATGGGGGCACCGTACATCCTGCCAAACACCCCTAACATCAATATTCATCTTCAGCCTCTCCAAAACGAGAATCTTAACTTTCTCCTCCACGCTTAATCCCTCCCCAGCAGCACCAAACACACTCCCATCCTCAACCCTCCCCCTCAATAGCCCACGTCGACTCGCCAACCAGAACAGGATAAGATCGAATTCACCACGCGGGAGCAATTGCACCGAGACATCTAGGAAGCCCGCGTCGCGGGCACCGCGGGTTAATGCGGCAGCCGTGAAGCCGTGGGTTGGGATGTGGGGGAGGGAGGCGGTTAGGATGGCGGTTTGGCTGTTTGTGTATTCGTGGGGTGGGAGGCGGGGGTGTAAGGGGGAGTGGTAGGTGCGGATTTGGATTGGGGAGAGTGTTCTCGTTGGTGTTGTTGGTGTGGTTTTGAAGGGTTGGTTGCGTGGTGAGTTGCGTAGTGAGGATGGGGATGCAGAAGCTCGCTGGTGGATTGTGTGGAAAGGGCGGGTTGGGCGGATGGATTGGATGGATGAGAGTGCCTGTCGAGGGCCGGGTAGTCGTGGGAGTGAAGCCATTGCGACAGTAATTGTAGGTGTCGCAGTACGTAGTATGTTTGAGGTGAGGTGAAGAAGTTACGGAAGATCAAAGTGGAGAAAAGTAAAGTTGCTCCCTCCCGCACGTGCAAAGACTAAGCACAGACGTTTTTCCATTCTAAGAACCGCAGATCGACATAACCCTTTTGGCAAGGAACATGGGGAATAAGGGAATCATGGCGAAAAGCAAAAGAAGAAACAGAAAAAATAACAATCTCAAAACAGTAAAAATGTCCCAAAGGGTCCAGAAAATAAAAGACAACAGATTACATGATCTGATCCTGAGTGATGTGGTCTGTTGGCTCGGCTCCCTCCATCATATCAGCAGGGGCGCCGCCGGCATTCAGATACTTGACAAAAGTAATTCCAAGAGGACGACCTCCGTACTGGTAGCCAGTGAACTTGGCTGGAGGAGAGTGGATAGTTAGTACAAGATGATCCTGAGAAAGTAAACATCACCACCTCGCAGAGCAACAAACTCACAAATCGCAGTCTCTGCAGTATCGGGGCTATCGAATTCAACGACGCCAGTGCCGCGGGAGCGGCCATTAGGCTCGTACTGGATCTCGGCACGATCGACCTTACCAATCGTGGAGAACAGATCGATCAAGTCCTCATTGCAAGTAGACCAGGGCAGCTATCATCCGAGTCAACATCCTATCCACATGTTCAATCGTACCGTCACACAGAAAACTTACGTTGCGAACGTAGATAACACCGCTCTTATCGCCGCCAGAGGTTGCAAAGTCGGTGAAAGGGTTCGGGGGGACCGAGGCAACGGGGTTCTCAAAACCACCACCGCTAAAGCCACCACCAGGAGCACCCCCAGCGAATCCACCACGGCCGCCAAAGCCACCGCCGAATCCGCCGCGACCGCCAAAGCCGCCACGGCCACCTCCAGGGAAGCCACCGCGGCCACCAAAGCCGCCGCCGAAACCACCACGGCCACCGAAACCGGGGCCACCGCCAGCGAAGCGGTCCTCACGAACCTCCAAAGGACGACCCTGCCATTCGTAACCGTTGAACTGCGCAATGGCGTTGCGTGCATCATCCGGAGACTCAAAGGCAACGATACCGGAGCCCTTGGGACGACCGGTTGGGTCGGTGTGCACATCGGCACGGATAACGGCACCCTGCTGGGCTGTAAAGGGAAGTTCAAGTCAATTCGCCAAACGTTTACAAGGGGAAAGAGAAGAAAGAAAATGACTTGGAGAGAAACTCATTGTCAATTGGCTTCTCAAGCACATGCTGTACTTACCAGCTTGGCGGAACAGATCCTTCAAGTCTTGCCAGCCAACATTGAATGGAAGCTAATGGGATTCTGTCAATACGGTCCTGGCACACAACAATATCTTAGCATCACAAGGGGGAACATTGGGGACTACAAACGTTCGACACATAGAGTTGACGGCCACCACCACCACCACCACCGGGGGCGCCGCCAAATCCACCACCGAAGCCACCGCGGCCACCACCGCCAAAGTCGCCGCGGGGAGGACCACCGATGAAACGAGGCTCGGCCTCACGATCCTGCAATTGAACGAATCAGCGCATGCCCTCTGCATATCCCAGGAATCGTGGTATCGACATACTTCGCGGACGTAAACGAGGCGGCCCATCAAGTTTTGGTTGCTAAGCGTGTTGACTGCGTTTTGTGCTTGCTCCCTCGTAGCGTATTCCACAATCCTATATCAACAGAATTAGTCCTCGTGTTTCCGGGTTGAATTGCCATGCGCATAACTTACCCGCATCCCTACAGTGTCCGGACAACCAGGCCCAGCCCGTCAACCCAACAGTCCATGCAAAGAAACCAGAAAAGAAAAACCACGAGAAATCAGGGAGTAGAAAAGGAACCAGCCACTCTACACATTGGCGCCCACCTTCGACATTCCATTTGGAAGAAGTAAAACATCGGCAAAGAGAACTTCTCCAGCTGTAAGATGAGAAAAGAACCACCAAGATCATCGGTCAGCCATTTATCCTGCTTTTCACACGGCGCAATAGCACCGCGATTATCATCACCACCAGCACCATCGCATCCATCATTGCTTACCCTGTCGCATAAAATCTTTCAAGTGGTGCCATTTCACATCGTATGAAAGGTTGCCGACATAGACCCGGCGGTCTTGTTGGGACGAGTCGCGGACGGATTGCATCATATTTTCTTTAGCGGCAGAACGATCCTCAAAGTTTCGACCCGGCGCGTAACTACTGCGTCCACCGTAGGGAGAGCCCGACGGTCCAGCAGCACCAGAAGCACTCAACGGAGAACGAGAACGGCGATCGCGATCACTGCGACGGTAATCGTCACGGCTACGAGAGCGACTGCGCGGCGAGTAAGAGCGACGGGTTCGTCGGGGACTGCGAGAAGGACGACGACGGGGCGAACGAGACCTCTCGCGCTGCTGCATACGGTCAGAGTCGGGGTAATTGTAGTCAGGGTATTGAGAAGACATGGCGGGCGACGGAGGGAAGGAGGAAGCGAAGGGCGGAGAAAAGATCGAGCAAGTTGACGAATGACGAAACGGGGAAGAAGGTGATGATCAATGACCAAGGTGAGTGGTGGGAAGAAGCAGAGAGGTATGGATGGAATTGAGGCGCAGCCGAGACAAGCAGGACCCGGGGAGAAGAGCGCGCGAGATCGGGAGGAGTACGGTCATGTGACCCAGTATAAGCTGAGACCCATTCGAGGACCCCCGGAGAAATGGGGGCTTGGGGGCACTGCCTTTCGGGTTTGTGCACGCAGATGTTTGCAAGATCCAGAAGGAGCAAACAAAGCGCAATTGCTCTTCCCGGGGCTCTGATGTTTTCCCGGTCCAGGCGATGATGCGGCGCAAATTGATGATGATGATGATGATGATGATAGTATGGAGGTGTCCGCCCCCGCACTGACCACGATAGTGGACGACGGGTCGCGCCCAGGACCGGCGCATCGCGCATTCCGCGATAGCATGATCGCAACGGAAAGAGTAGGCAAGGAAAGATAAGAAAGCGGTGGTACTTACTTGATAAGGTCGATAGACGTCCGCTGTTTTTGGAGAATCAAACAAAAGAAGGATTAGCCAGGAAAGACAAGGACGATCAGGGGAAAGGAAGAAGGAAGAAGGAGGAGGGGGGAAGGGAAGACGAAAGGACCAAATGGTTGGGAGGGGGACGAGCGGTGATTGGAGGGCGTGTTTCAATGGGAGGGAAAAAGAGGAAGGAGGGGGTTAAGCTGAGAATGTACCAGCCCAGAGAAAGAGAAGGGACGGGTAAACAGGGGTTAAACAGGGGACTGGATAACTGGGAACACGAGTAATTCCAGTACATAGTTATACTGTTGGCAGTGAGACAGGGCGGGACACCTTACCCATAATTTCAAGCTCGGAGCTGGTGGTACAGGGAGAGTTGGTGGTCGATCGTTGTGAAGGGGAGGTGGGAGAGGTGGAGAAAGAAGAAGGAAGGAGGAGAAGATGGCGAAAAGGAGAAGGAGGAGGAAGGAGTGGTGGTGGATAAAGTGGACGGAAAGGCGGGTTGAGGTTGTTTGGGGGTTGAGTGTTTTGAGATGGGCAGATTGACAGGTGAACACGTTAAATTGGGGTTCTGATACTCGGATTTGGCCTTTACTTTTATCGAGTAGACTCAAAATGGTAAAATTGTAGTTAGCAGAAATATTACAGTTTGACTATCTCTGAACGATAGCCAGTTTGGCCGAGTGGTTAAAGGCGTTTGACTTAAGCTCAAATCCGTTCTGGTTCGTCGGTTCGAATCCGACAGCTGGCATTTTGCTTTTTGCTAGGCTAAAAAACTAGCCGTGCCAGTTTAGTTCCAATGATAGACAAGGAAAGTTGGTTGATCTCAAGAGTTATTATTATCCAGTATTGGAATCCTGCAGCCAGCCACCGGTCCAGCCCTCGGAAAAGGACAGCACTACCTCCAGCAAAACATGCGCCTTTTTTTCTACAAGACTAAATTTACTATGATCGAAGAATCAAATGGATCTGAGATACAAAGAGCACTACCAATCTCCGTTACTTTACCACACACACCCTGGCCAAACGTCTCGCATTTAATCCCAAGTATATTGAACTCTACTCCATATCTATTACTTGATACCTCAATCAACCAGAAACACATCTCTGAGATCAGACTAAATCGTTTTCATTTCTTCACTCTAGAACGAACACGAAAGAAAAAGTCAAACGCAAAAAAAATAAGATCACAGATCGAGAGAAAAGAAACGAATGCGTGGATGCTCTACATCCCCGGGGGAATCACGAATCGAAAGAGACCCGGTTAACCTTGCGCCTGCAACACCCGGAACGAACGCCTACGGCGGAAGGGATCTAAAACTGGGGCGGCGAGCTATTCTCGAGAATAGTCTCTGCCAAAATGAATGAAACCAAAAACGCCCAATGAAAGTCTAGGACGCATTGTTATGTAGTGTGTGAGAGGGGGACAATATGATAGGTAGTGCGGGGGAACGGCAATTGATACATGTACAAGTGGACACTCTGGTCCGAGAACTAGGAAAGCATGGGAGAAAAGCATACTTGAAGTGAAGATAGGAACAAAAGAAAAGAAAAGCAGATGTAAAAGGAAAGTGAGAAAAGAAAAAAAAAGACGGAGATCATGCGGCCACGTTGGTCGGTGGATAGCGGCCAGGGATCTTCATGTCGATGGCCACGACGCTGTCTCGTTTGGGCAGACCCAAGTCTGGAACGGTTTTGGCCGAGCCGGCGGCTCCTGTCCCCGCGTACCCATCCTCATGGTTCTGGGTAGCCAAGGAGCCACTGGCAACGGCTGCGCCATTCTTCAGAAACGCGGGCGTCTCATCGACCGAGGTGGCCATCGTGTTGTTGGTGTAGTCGGTGCCGTTAGTATTGGTCGGCACCGTAGACACGCTCTCCCGACGAGCCATCTGCGGTGGCGCAGAAGATTCACGGCGGTCTGCGGCCTCCAAGACACCGGACATGGCCACTACGGAGTTATGATCTCCGTCCGAGCGGATTTCGCGGGCATCCGTGTTCGCAGCTTGGGACAGCTGGCTCTTCTTCTGCTGGGCCACGATGGCAGCCGGGCCGATCCAATCCCCGTAGTAACTGTCATGGCGACTCATCCGGGACCGAGATCGATCCACCTTGATCGAACCGCCATCATTGGTAGGTTGTGGGGATGCCGTGGCGAAATCGCGATCACCGTAGAACCGGGAAGGATCCGCGGCCCCGGTGCCATCTGGAAGGGCGCCAGCGGCAGCGATCATGTCCCTGCCTGCAGAGCTGTCACCGCTAGATGGGGATAGTGGCGCCTGGAGGTGCCGATCGATCTGGACGTCACTCGGGAAGGCCCCGCCGGGCTGGCGGGTGGCTGAGGTGGGCCGTTCCTGGCCCAGAACCACGGACTCGGCGGAGTACGGGGTCTGATCGGCCTCGTCATCCTCCAACACCTCGCTGTTGGTCGAACGACCACTCACGCTCCGGACGTGTCGACGAACGAATGCATTTCGCGCTTCACCAGTTTTGTTGCTCAGACTCTCGATATCCTCATACCAAGACATCATAGTTTCGTGGGACTCGGCGCGGAACACCCAAGAGTGGCCGCGATGCATGGCACCAGTTTGTCGACCCTTCAACATGAACTTGTGGGAGCTGGAATCTTCTTGCGAATGAGAGCCCAGTTTCTGCTCGGGCAGGTACAACGACATGATTGGAGTCTGCCACTCCACGCGGTCGGCCGACTTGAACTCGTGCAGATGCGTTGGCGACAGCACGTACCAACCAGGAGTATAGCTCTTCAGGTACTTGCTCTTGCGCTCCAGCATACCAGCACGAACTTCTGCTGCTGCCGGGTGATCCTTGCCATCGTAGGTGATGTTCTCCACGTTCCGCAGCGGGATGCGGGGGTCGACGAGTTCATCGGTGCCAGCGACAAAGGCATTCCACTCGTGATCTTGTGGCATCGAAATCGGTCCCGCACGAAGCTTCTCCACCGTATCGTAAGCCTCGTCAGCTTCCCTCTTAAGGATGCTGGCGTAGGCGTTGTAGGCCTTTTGGATCTCGCTGACGACGATCGATTCGAGTTCGCGGCCGGAGTTTTCCAGATTCAAGTAAGCCTGTAGTAGAAAAGAAACAAAATTAGCCTATGCAAGTCCAACTAGAGCAGCAAAACAGTGTAATGCGCAACGAACCCGATGGAGATAGTTTTCTTCCTCGATCTGCTTTTCGACTTGTCGCTCAACATTCAGGCGCATCAAGAACGGATCGCCTTTACCAGAAGTGGCAGAGGGGTCGGTATCCACCAGGCCTAGCGACTCATGTAGATTGCGCACGGCCTTACGGGTGCCGTCAATTTCCTTCTCCACGGTGTTCTTAAAATCGCCAGAGAGACTCTTGATCTCCTTGGTCTTCTTTTGAAGATCGCTTCGGAGACCAGTCAACTGGCTGATCACCTCAGTCTCCACCTCCACGGCCTTGTTGGCCTCCGTATAACCTTGGCGATGGAAATGTTGGAGAATCTCGGTGGCATCGGCGAGACCGCCAGATTGTAGGAAGGCTTGAGGGGCGACCTGGTTGTTCATCACATGGGAGGCGGACAGGAAGAGCTTCGATCTGGTTTCGTAGGACTTTTGTACTTCCTTGAAGAAGATGATAAGATCCTTTAGGATCTTGCGCCAGGCTATGGAAAGAAAGAGACAGATCAGTAAGGTTCACATAGCACAAAGGGAATGCAGATGTGTCCGAGTGGGAGAACGTACCTTGAAAGCGGTTGGCCAACACCTCCGTTGGGTTGCCCGTGGTCGGGATGGGAACCATGAATGCACTGTTGACATCCTCTACTCCATCCGAGTGGTATTTCTCGCGATCGCCCAAGCTGAGGCTTCGCACGCTGCCTGCGCGCATGGAGCGGCGACTCCCATTGCGCCGCAAACTGCCTTTCTTGCTCAGGGAAGCCTTCTTACGGAGTGTGCCTGAGCGCGACGGGCCGGGGGACATGAGTGAGGCTGAGCGTTGCACCCCAGTACTGCCTCCGGAGGGACCGTCGAGTAAGACGGAGCTGCGGCGACTGACTGACTCAAAGTCCTCCTTGAAGCGCGGGTTATGGGCGAGTTGGGACGACTGGTCGAGGTTATTGTAGTGGTAGGCCGAGCCGGTGCCGGCATAGGAGTTGGGTCGCGATGAGGAAGAGCGAACGGCGCTGTACCCGCGGATCAGGGCCCCTGTCTCATTTGGGTGCGGGATCGAGTATGCATCCTGCACGGGGGTCTGTGGCCGCGCGGCCATCGCCATGATGGGAACGTGGTGAATGGGGGGAGAGAAAGAAGTCGGAGATTTCGTAGATGCAGACCGGAGTTTGGGGGAGATCGAAAAGGAGTGACAGGGGGGTGGATGAGAGAGAATGGAGAAGAAAAGGAGATACGGGGGAGATTGAGGAATTGGAAATTTCAAGTAAGGGGAATAATGAGTCTTGGATGCAGCCTGTTCGGGAGGTTTTTTTTAGGTCTTTGGATTGCCTTCGAGTAAGAGGGGGGAGACACTGGTTACCCAGCGACCGGCGAGGCTTAGGCCTGGGCTGTTTTGCGGGGAGTTCGTCGAACAGGCTTGGACGACGGGAGATCAATTTCACTTGCCCCACACGACTATCGGCGTAAAAGTCCTGCAAAATAAGGAGGGGGGAAGGGGGGAAAGGTCAAGAAAGAAAATGAGAAATGATGCGAGATATGAATCGCTCGAATTGGAGAGCCAAAAAAGAAGTCCCGGGGATGCCGATCGATCGCCAGAGTATGGAAAAAGAATGGTGTGGGAATGACGTCTACGAGGAGAGGGGATGAGTGATGACGACCGGGAAACCCACCCCTGTGGCCAAGCCCCCAGTTGTCTAAACGAGTACCCAGTTACAACTCGACTTACTACGATACTACTTGGTATATCATTTCGGAGGGCCCGGCTACCTATTGGGAGGGAAAAAGTGATACCTGAAAGCTAATTCGTATGAATCACGATGGTTGACGTCGAGGACCTGCGTTGGCGGAAATCATGACCGATCAGGCGAAGATGTTGGTCTTGACTGCTGGTCTCCTCCGGTTCGGACTGCATCCTGCATTTCTACATGACTCCGATGGTTAAGGGGAGAAGTGGATATTTGTTCATGTACACTCGCTCAGGGCGAATTATGTCATCTTCTGCCCTGCGTCCTAACAGCAGTTCAACTATCACTGAACTCCTCTTCCTTTCATATGTTCTTCATGTCTGAGGTTTTTTTGCTAGAAATCTAGCTCACTGGGCCTCTTGATTGGAATTGGAATTTCAGTAGAACTAAAACAAGCTACGATGCCATCAATTCATCTTAGCGTTTCGCGGATTTGAAAGCAATATAGATCAGATAACGTTACCCCGAAAATGCACGGCATCCCCCCTTGCTGATCTGTCATCTGCAGAAAGCGACAGCATCTATATATGTACACGCTACTACCCGAAGAGAATCGAACACTATATTCCTCTTTTTATATTCTTCAACTGCTCCATCTTTACCTGCGCAAATGACACCATCTCTGCCCTTGTCTCGCCGTCAAGCAATTCAACCCTCATACCCTTGTCATGTATTACATCCCAATAGATAACATCCACGTCGAAACTCTTCCTTGCTGCATAATCGAACCAGAATCGCCCAGTCTTCCATGAATCACGCATTTAGGCAGACACAGACGGCTCAACGGGTTCCCTACACTCCAACGTCGTTTCACTTTCCACTCATTCCAACCATCGCAAGAATTGCTCAATTCGAGGCTCGTAGAGTGTCAAAAATTCTTCTATCGAGCATCGCTCAAGCCACACTTCCCCTGAAAGGAGTAACCACCAGGGTTGGTCATTCATACGTGAACTCGGCCGGCATGGCATTCGTAAATTCCAAATCGAGTACAGCAGTAATCTGCAGTGTTGGTGATGAGAAGATGCAGGCTTGGCAGGGTAAAGATAGGTGATTACATACTACTCCGTACCTTTGATTGGTTTCCCTAGTTTTACGGAGTTGAAACTTAGTTACAAGGTCCTCTTGTGCATAGTAATAATCATAGCTAACTACGGAGCTAAAGTGAGGATTAAGGGACCCTGAACCTCGAGCACCCCACTAGCTCCTTCATCACTAGATGGGCCATAGAAATCTCATGCTCCGAAGCTCGTAACCCCGATTTAGTCTGTAGATAACACAGAAGACCGGTACACAATTCAATGTTATTCGTTTGCCTAGATGGTTAATGTGGTTGAGTTGGCTGACGAAGGTGGCTCCGCCTGCGTTTAATTGAATGCTGTAGCCTACAGGCCCTGAAAGGATAAGGAAGCCAAAATGGGCTCGGCTTATGGGAGCATGATCCACATGATCTGTGGCTCAGTCCCATCCGAGGCCTGTCGTATAATTTCAATTTGTTAGAAGAGGTCCATAGAAAAGGGGGGAGATGCTCGATTGGTTGTCCCCTCCCCTGATCTGCCCTGTTCACTGGGCATGACGTCGGGGTCCAAGGCAGGAGGAGAGGGGAAACAAACTCGAAGCTTGCTGGATAACGTTTTTTGCACCTTGCTGAGGACATGGCCTCCGTACCGATGCAGTCTGATGCTTCTGATGCAGGTCTGCTTTCGCATTGATTATTGCAATGTTGCCGTCGTGATCGTTATTGCGAACGATGATCGCGGGAGGCCGGTACTTGGGAGACACTCGGGAGTTGCAAGGATATAGGTTTGCCACAGTAGACAGTAACCGGTTGAGCTTCAAGTTAGTTTCGAGTCCGAGCCACACGGGTGTCTCTCTATGATTCTTCCTGGTTGGCTATCAACCCAGCGACTGAGTCGTCAGTAGTGACAATTCAGTGATATCAAGATCGACATGGTCCATAGGAAGAGACTTTCGTCAGATAAAATCATGGTTTGAAAATTCCGGTTTCGAATGTCATGCAGAGCTTCAGAATTTCTAGGTTGTTGATCATTAGCGAAGCTTTCTTGCTGCAGGTTTGAAGTGAAAATCATGCCTCTGGACGTACTCCGTAGTATGTCGAGGGTGAGTTTGATATGGCTGCATCGTCATTGGCCGCCTTCCACATCTTCCCCTCCACCACTCCACGAACCCCCAAACTTGATCGCAAAACCTAAGCCGCCCACACGAGCTTATTTAATACTCCCGGAAGGACCGGACCTACGCGGCGTACGAAAGCTCTACTTGGGATTTATGCAATGGATCTTATCTCTTCAGAATGACTGGCCAATGGTCTTGACGGGGGAATTGCACATTGGCCTAACCCCTCCCATTCTACCCACACAGATGTATAAACAGCTCTACGTCACTTAAGTCTCACGAATAAGAAATTGGGTTCGGATTGTTGTATCCTGCATGCTAAGGCAACATGACGAAAAGTGGGTAATTTACACAACGAGACTGGGGGGTAAAGGGAGGAAGATAATCGGAGGAAAGAAGGGATAGGCTTTTATGATGCGGGGACTGGGGATCTGGGGACCTCAATGCCGTATGCCTCCTTGATGCGCTCTGCGCGGCGCTCCTCATAGTTGGGGCCGTAGATGCCTGTAAATTGCAATTAGCATTGCTCGATTCCGGTACTCTCACAGAACTAGGTATCAGATGGGTATTGGTGAAAACGTACCGCGTCCCTCACCCAATTCAGCAAAGGTCTGCTCGGCGGGGGTCTGGAAAGCCTTGCGCAGCTTCGTCCGGCGGTCGAACTCATCCTCAGTCTTGTCCTTGTCATATCCGAAGAGGGAGCCACCGGTGTAATCGAACGCGAACAGGCCGGTCGAGAGGGCCACGCCGTATCCCAGAACGGCGGGGAGGGAGCGGGCTAAAAACTGGTCAGTATACCACAGAGTCGACCCAATTGCGATGCTATAGTTCATGCATGTCCGTAACTGACCTCGAAGACCCAGGATCGCACCGGAGAAGAAACCACCGATGGCAGTGTTCAAAGGGTCCTGCTTCTCGCGCAGGTTGGCCGAGGCGGTCTTGGCGAACTCATAGGTACCACCCATTGCGGCTAACAGAACAATTATATTAGCATTGGCAAACCGAGGAATCCGTTCGACGAGGAGTTTGTACCGAGGATAGTGATGGTGCTGCCGCTGCGCATGAAGATACCCAGCGGGCCGACGTTCTGCCTGACCAGGGTGTTCTGCACGGCCGAGGCAAAGAGACCAATACCACCAGTCATCAAGGTGGTCTTGGTGGCTGCTGAGACAGCATCCTGGGGGTGGTAGTGGTGGTCCTCTTCGTGGTTCGCCATGGTATCGCGGGGAGGGTTGAGCTGCGAATGGACTTGGAGGCGGACGGAGGTGTGGTCGAGTTGGGATTTCGGGAATCCATTTTGCTGCGCTAGACCGCCTAATAGACCGCCCTGGCGATATGGCAATCAACCCATGGAGCTCTATCGGCTCTTCTGCTTCAAACAGCGTCACAACAAAGCATCCTGCTTTTGTTTTTTCTCAAATCTCATTGCATTGCTGGTGAATAGGCTTGGTCTCCTCGATTTGGACTCGCACATACGTATCCTTTCAAGCTGTCGCTGCTTCGTCTCCAGCATCCGGTGCAAGCTTACCGCCCGCTGCTGCCCAGTGCGGTGGGCTCCCCGCCGTCTCTCCGCTAGCCAGTCCCCATCGACGGGACACCGTTTCATCGCGGGGGCCCAAAGCTATTTGCTGGGTCCGTATGGGTGATTTGAATCTGGGAGTGCCCGGATCTCTTCCATCTGCGAAAGAACAACTTTTGTGTCGTGCGGTGCTGCGTCGATAAATCGATCATCATGGTGCCTCCACAGCGGCCAGGTGGGTACATATAAAAGAAGCAAAGCTTCCTATGATATGTGTTGTTGTAGGATAGGCTGCTGACATATCTTCTCGTTACAATGCATAGGCAAGACGGCTCCCCGGTTGGCGGAGGACATTCGGCTATACGATCCTGTGCATGTTCCAGCTACTGGCCTCAACCTACTGTCACAGGTACCACCGGTACACCCAGAGGATAGCGACAAGACCTCAGACTTTGTCTCGCCTCATGCTTGTCGACACACATATGTGACCAAGGAGAACCAAACATACCTGGCAGACGCCGAGCAAAAACGGAGACCGGGAACATCGTCAAAGCTATCGGCTGTCTGCTCGAAATGTCGCTACCACTTGCAAGTGGTTGTCAATTACACCACTGGTGGAAATACGTTTGGTCTGTCCAAGGCAGCAGATCATCTGCACCACTTTGTGTACAAATCAGGTAGACAGCAGGGAAGTCGAATGGCGGAAGAGGTAACTGAGAAAGGGCAGGTGGTAGAGACCTACCACTATCAGTGCTCTCATCTTTCATGCTCGGCAATGGTTTCACTGCGGATTCTGTCGCCTCTTATTACTCCACATCTTCTGGAGCTGCTGAGCGATCCAGTTTTGATTCGTGAACGAGCAGAAGAAGCAATTGCGGCTCAACCAGAGCGACTCGAGGGTATGGCCACTCCGGCGCCTATCACAGTCTTGGATAACTTGCGCCTTTACCTCCACAACGCTCTTCATACACATGAGCGCAGCAAGGCAATTTCGTCCGCCAATAAGAGGTTCATGCTATCGTTTGGGCTTGAGGGAACTGCGTGTAAAGATGTCTTGGAATTCTTGGGATTTGCCTACGATGCCGTCAGTGCCTTCCATACTCTTATATCCTCCGCATTGTGCATGTCACTAACTCTTTCCATAGGATGCTGGTAGCTGGCAGCCACCATCTCCCAACCCTTGGACAATAAAGCCCTACCAAGATACAGAGCGGATCTTCCTCGACGACATTATCCACGAACTACTATGCTTGCTGCACCAGAGACCCGTTTCCGAAAAAAGAGGTGTCAACTTCCCTGTACTTCCCCCATCGTCAACAAATGACCTCTTCTACGCGCTGGAAGCCCAAGATTGTTCGTATTTTCCCTCGCTAAACCTGAGGTATCCCTGAAACTAACACCTGGTTTAGATCCGAAAGCTTCACGTGCCCACGAATTCGCGATGCCGCCTGCACCGTGAGTATCCCTAATCTACGTTGACGTGTCTTACGTGTGAGTGACGAGGATCACTAATTCTCTGCTTTTCATACAGGTTCTATGAGGATCTCGGTGCCACCGAGGATATGGCAGCCTCGGCCATTATCGAAGCATACAATCGACAAGTTTCCCTCGACCCGGGACGCTCACCGCTGTATCTGCAATGTCTCAAAGCGATCGCCACACTGCGGGGTGGAGAAGACTATGAGGTTATTGAGCCGGCTGTGGCTCTCGCTTACTCCGAAGGCAAATTCACGGATGATGATCTTGTTGACTCGTACAGATACTTTGGGTTGTGGCATAATGATTACAGTCTGGATGCAGATACCATTATTGGAAAGTTCTACTCTTATGTCAGTTCGACATCCCCAGAGAAAGAGAATGAATCACGCCAGCACTTGTGGCGGATTGGTGTCAACAGAAGCAGTGAGCGCATCAAAGCCGTGTCAGAAGACCGAGTCTCCACTGTTGAGCAGGCCCAAGTGTTCCTGGGTGTCGAGGACAACACCCCAGATGATTTCATCATCACGATGTACACTGCAAAAATCAACGATAACCCGGCCTGCAAAGAAGTCGCCAATCGCGCTCTCAAGCTCATCGCAGAAGGCCGCAATTCGAATATGCTGAATCACTACCGTGCCACTGGGGAGACTATGGAAGCAGAAATGGATATCGGGGATGCCTACCGCATGCTTCAGATTCCAGATCGCACTGCCGATGATGGCGCCATCATAGCAGCCTACACGATCTGTGTCGACGAGAACCCAGGCCAGGCCGAAATCTACAACCGAGCTTTGAAGATTATTGCCAATAATATGGATAGCCCGATGTTGCGTAACATGGCTGGGGTCTCAAGCGAACCAGATCGCAACCTGTTGGATTGGCCGGTCGGTCTGCAGAATATCGGCAACACATGCTATCTGAACAGTCTTCTGCAGTTCTATTTCTCAGTCCGTCCATTTCGCGACATGGTCATGCATTTTGAGAAACATCAAATGGATGTGAATGACGAATCGAGTCTGGCTCAAAAGCAGGTAGGCTCCCGCAAAGTGGCTAAGAAGGAAGTAGAACGGTCACTCAAATGTAAGTTCAGTGATTGCCGTTTATCAAGGCTATGGAAAAGTAAAGCTAATCATTTGCAGTTCTCGGTGAACTCCGTGGTTTGTTTGACAGTATGATCACGTCGGCACAGTCTTCAGTAACTCCTGGCCAAGAGCTTGCACGTCTGACTTTGATCAGCTCGGGAGGTGAGGCTGTTATCCGTCGAATGTCATCCATTTCAAAGTCTCAAACTCTCGGTGACGTTGACGGAAGGCCTATTCTGGGACCTCTCGGGCCTCCTCGCCCAATTGCTGAAGAGCAAGACGAAGAGCACAGCGCTCGAGAAAACGGAACGCCGCTTTCGAAGGCCTCCAATCCCAGCGATGTTGGCAGCGATGCCACCCTTATTTCAGAAGCAATTCCCAACGCGGAACCTGCGCAGGAGGATATTAAGGGTGGCCCACTTTCGCCGGCATCAGATACCGATGGGGATGCTATCGACAAGGCCGGCACCACCCCACTGTCTCCCGAGCCTTCCAACCAACCGCCACCGGTACCCCCACGTCCGATTCCGGAAGTGGATCGCCAGAAGCAGTTGATCGAAGAGGTGGAGATTGGTGCTCAGCAAGACGTCACGGAAGTGATCAACAATGTTCTCTTCCAGAGCCAGTGTGCCATTAGGCCATTGAGAATCGACAGCGACGGAGAACAGGTCGATCAGATCAAAGAGTAAGTATACCAAGTCTCTCAACTGCACACTTCCGTAATATTTACTGACAATCACCAGTCTCTTCTATGGTCGAACCCGATCATATATCACCACTGCAGGAGGCACCCGATCCAAAGAGGAAAGGTGGTGTGATATCAAGGTCGATGTAGCGGGCGGGTCGCGCGATATCTACGCAGCCATCGATGGCGCGTTTGATGTGCAAAAGATCAGCGTTGACGATACAGAGGCCGAACAGTACGGATCTATCACCACTATTCCTCCGATCCTGCAGATTCAGGTGCAGCGCGTTCAGTTCGACCCCGTGAAGAAGAGCTCTTTCAAGTCCACCCACCACCTGGACTTGCTGCAAAAAATATACCTTGACCGGTACATGGATACCACCAAGCCGGAGATGATGGATCGTCGCCGTCAGTGTTGGGAATGGAAGAGCAAGCTCAAGTTGCTCGAAGCTCGTCGAGCGGAGTTGTTGCGAAAGCAGGTATGAATTGGATTCGCTGACTAGCATCTGATCCCACAAGCTAACTCTCTACGCAGGAGGACGATCATCTTGAGATGACTGAGCTCTTCCGTAATACCAAAACTGTTCTTGAGGGTGTTGCCGCTATCGAGAGCGATAGCAATCTGGAGATCAAACCGGAGCTCCTCAGTGAGCTAGATCAGCTCTGCCAGACCGTGCAAAGCGAGCTCCAATGTAAGAGCCTTACTGTCTGTGAGACTGACTTCTTGCAACATGCTAACCTCTCTTCTGCAGCCGTCGACCAAGACATCCAGAACATTCAGGCCATGCTTGCCAACCAATTCTCCGATTCCACCAAGCTTCCATACCGATTGTACGCCGTCTTCGTGCACCACGGTTCCGTCTCGTTTGGGCACTATTGGATCTATATCCACGACTTCCGCTATGACGTCTGGCGCAAGTACAACGATGAATATGTGACTGAGGTCCAGAACCTGGACGAAATCTTCAAGAACTCCGACACCAAGAACCCACCTACCCCCTACTTCCTCGTCTACATCAATGACACGATGAGAGATCGCCTCGTTGATCCTGTCTGTCGCGAAATCCCCGAATGGCAAACTCAACCCGACACGGGAACTGAGGACACCGAGGAGATATCTTTTATGGAGGACATTCAGTCACCAGGCATTCCTGTCGATGTCATCATGGAACCGCCATCCTACCAAGAAGTCGACCACTGATGAATCCAGTCACAATGGTCGATACTCGTGCTTGTTGCTCCATGAAGACAGGAGGCCGCATCCCGAACATTCCCCCGCTGTGATGCCCTTCGGCGATTTCACGGCGCTTCACTCCCCCACTATCCTATCCTTCCTTCCGCATCATTGTGCCCATTTCCGTGCTATGTATTGCGATATTCTTGCATGAGCGAGAGGAACATTCTTTGTCAGTGTACATAAGCAGAAGATACCATGAATGACCGATCATGTTGATGACATTTCTCGGGATCTATTCCGTTAGACGAGTAATCCTAGTTTGACCCAACAGAGTTGGATCATAGTTGAGCGCTATCCTAATGTTTACCGTAGTGTGATATATACTCTAAAGGCAAAATTAAATCTTCCAGCCATGGCCTCGTCAGAGGTTATCAAGGGTCGATTCTGGTGGCCAGAACTCTTGAGACCTGGTACGGTTGCCTCAGGCTACCAGATGAGTCAGCCACCGGGCGGCCCGCGGATCGGAATCGGATCGGCTGTCACTTCGGCTGCTGTTTTCATCCAAGTCTTATTATACATTGAGTCAAATAATTCAAAATATATAGGAGGTAGTGTACTGAGAGTCAATGTGATAGTTTCTGATAGGTTAAGTCCTTCTAAGTGCCCAATTGTATCGTTGCGAGGCGCATTGGAAAATTGGAGAGGCAATGAAGGTTCCTGCGGGGAAATGTGGGCATGTCCGGGGAAGAGCGCAAGACGAAGAACATCCGGATCCCATTCCGCATTCATTGCCGCCTCCCGGAACTATAAGAGTAACCACCTGCCGGGGTTTCATTCGCCTCCGCATTGCTGCTGCGGGCTGGTCTTGAATTTTTCTCTCCCCTCCTCCTTCTACCTATACGGCATCTTTCGTTCCCCAGTCAACTCAATCGCAGCAACTCGCCATGCCTTCTCAAGTAGCAACCTGCCTGCGCATGGCGCGGCAGTTCTCTGCTGACCCGGCCAAGGTATGTTGGAATAAGTCGCTCTACTCACCTCCAAAGATGCTAACGCCGTTTATTCTCTCTCTATAGCACCAGCGCTTCCTTGCTCGCAACTTCTCCAGCAGCGTCCGCCGGGCCGCGATCAACAAGGTCTTCGCCTCCGCGGAGGAGGCCACCAAGGACATGAAGTCCAACTCCACACTTCTGGCTGGTGGATTCGGACTCTGCGGTGTTCCAGATACTCTGATCAATGCGGTCCGCGCAAACTCTTCTATCCAAGGCTTGACCGTCGTCAGCAACAACGCCGGTGTCGACGGATCCGGTCTCGGCCTGCTCCTGCAGTCCAAGCAGATTAAGAAGATGATTGCCAGTTACGTCGGCGAAAACAAGACCTTTGAGCGCATGTATCTGACTGGCGAGATCGAGCTCGAGCTTACTCCCCAGGGTACTCTTGCTGAGCGCTGCCGCTCCGGCGGTGCGGGTATCCCTGCATTCTACACTCCCGCCGCTTTCGGCACCGTCGTTCAGACTGGTGACCTGCCTCTGCGCCACAACAGCGACGGCACTGTTGCCCTGTACAGCCAGCCTCGCGACACCAAGGTGTTCGATGGCAAGAACTATGTCATGGAGGAGGCGATCAAGGGTGACTATGCTTTCATCAAGGCCTGGAAGGCCGATAAGCTGGGTAACTGCCAGTTCCGCTATTCTGCGGCCAACTTCAACGGCGCTATGGGCCGCAACGCTAAGATGACCATCGTCGAGGCCGAGCACATTGTCGAGCCCGGTGAGATTGAGCCTGCTGCTATTCACCTGCCCGGTATCTACGTCAAGCGTGTGATCCAGAGCACCACGGAGAAGAAGATCGAGAAGTACACCTTCGCCAAGGAGGAGGGTGCCGATACCTCGGCGCTGGGTAAGGGTGACACCGCCAGCAAGCGCGAGCGTATTGTCCGCCGTGCCGCGAAGGAGTTCAAGAACGGCATGTATGCCAACCTGGGTATTGGTATGCCTATGCTTGCTCCCAACTTCGTCGACCCCTCCGTCGAGGTGACCTTGCAGTCTGAGAACGGTATCCTGGGTCTGGGTCCTTACCCCAAGCAGGGTGAGGAGGACCCCGATCTCATCAACGCCGGCAAGGAGACCGTCACTCTCAACCCTGGTGCCTCCGTCTTCGGTAGCGACGAGTCCTTCGGCATGATCCGCTCTGGTCGTATTGATCTGACTATCCTGGGTGCTATGCAAGTCAGTGCCCATGGTGACCTGGCCAACTGGATGCTGCCCGGCAAGATCAAGGGTTTCGGTGGTGCGATGGATCTTGTGTCCAACCCCTCTGCGACCAAGGTCGTGGTTACCATGGAGCACACCGATAAGAAGGGTAACCCCAAGATCGTCAAGCAGTGCGAGTTCCCTCTTACTGGACCCGCCTGCGTTAGCCGTATCATCACCGATCTCTGCGTCTTTGACGTTGACTTCACCGATGGTCTGACTCTGATTGAGATCGCTGAGGGTGTGACCGTTGAGGAGGTCAAGGCCAAGACTGAGGCTCCCTTCAAGGTTGCCGATGATCTGAAGCCCATGCTGTAAAAAATCCTTTTCTTGTCTCTGGTCTTCTTGCATTTGTTGTCTTTTGACATTTTGATTCTCCCGGAGCGTGCATTTCGATTTCAATTGGGTTATTGTATATATGAAATTTGTTGTGGAGTTAGTCTACTATACTACATAAAAGCGAATTGACTCGACGCTTATTCTCCACAAACTTGATCCATGAGCAACTCATCCTCAAACCTTTTAACGTAGATCTAAAACCTTGACAATTCTAAATTTCATGTATTGGAGTAGTGATACAGTAAATGTCGCCTAAAACATCACTTCAAAATATTGGTACATGCCATGCAAATCCGCCAGAAGAACCCCTCTAATCCCCAAATACAACCAAGTCCCAAGAGAGGAGAGAAAACATCCTCATTTTATACAAATAAAACACGAACATCAAGCAATCGCAATGCAATCACTGCAACCGCAAAATTCCACCCAATCTCTTGCGCAACCGCCCAAACCAATCTCGATTCGGCGCCTCCGCAAACTCCCGAATCAGATTATCATAGTGCTCCGGGTCACTGGCCGGGTAGCGAATCTTCTGCGACAGGGGGTATTTGTTGGCGAAACGGTTTTCCAGGAGTGCGGAGAGCGCGTTCACGGAGGACTCGGAGATCTTAGGGATGGCTTTGGGGGCTGGTGTGGATGAAGACTTTGAGGTGTGTGTGCTCTGGTTTTGGCCTAATTGGTTCTGGAGGTAGGTTTGGACTGAAACTGAGGCTGGACGGACGGCGTCTGAGGGCCAGTGTTGGAGGATGTGGGTGAGGCGACTTTGAAGGGAGCGCGGGTTGAGGGTCTGCAGTAGTATTGTGAGATAGGGGTTTTTCATGTTTGGGGCGATATGATTGTAATTGTCGCATTGGAATTCGAAGCATAGTATACATACCTGTGGCTTGGCCATGGTGGGTTGTCGAATGATTAAGTGATTAATAGGTTCATAACATGAAGCATCTCGAATCTCGAAATCCGGCGATCAGATCCAATGCCAAGACCCGGTTGGTCAGCGAGTTTCGCCGCCCCTGCCTGAGGCAACCCTTCGACTTCTCCTGCCCGGCCCTGGAACCTTTGGATTCCCGGCGTTTCCATATCACCTCACGCCTCTCTGCTACTCGTCTTTCTCTGCTTCCTGCTCCGTTTTCTCTTTTATCATTTCACATTCTCAGTCTTTCCCCTCTATACTGCTCTCTCGCCCACTCCTCCCGCTCAGCTCGTCATGAGCTCGCAGCGCTATCAACGGGTTCGTCATCCCCAATCTCCCCCCTCCCGCTGATCCCATCGCCCCGGCCGGAACGCCATCGCCTGCTTCCCCCGGATATGACTCCCACCAGAACTGACCACCCTTTTCTTTTAGGTGAATGCCCACGATGAAGAAGACGACTCACATTCCTACCCGTTGAATCCTACTCGATCTAATCTCACTCCAACGTCTCCACCGCCCTCGTTCCGTTCCGGCTCGCGGTCGTCCTCACCGTCCTCACGGCGGCTACTACATGGCGACCCACTTCACAATGATGATGATCAGACCCTGGCCGATGCCTTTGGGGATGAAGATGGATCTGACGACGACGAGGAGCCCGACGATAGGCAGCGGTTGATGCGTGCTAATCCGGATACCGGGTCACCTGCCAGCTACGGTCAAGTGGCGTCGTCAGCCTCCTCGTCGGATGCCAGGAATGATAGACAAGAGGAGCCTCGTGCTTCACCACTCCCACGCCGACCAACTATACTGCCCACATTCACGACCCCAGCATCCGGGGAAGTCGATCGGTTGCCCCATCGAATGATGGAGTGTTTGCCAATTTGGCCGCCAAGCCAGAACGAGGCGAGAAGAACGAGGATCTGCCTCCTGTAAGTTGATACCCGATATATGGCTGTGAGGCTGTGATCTGTGACAGTTTGGGCTAATATAATTGCTTCTTATAGTCTTACGAAGAAGCCGCTGCCGATGCGACACCCCCATATTGGGAGACCACGATCGTGGCGCCCGGCATCTCGTCCGACGAAGTGTATGTCGATGGACTGCCCGTCGGATCCGTGTTCTCCTTTGTGTGGAACGCCATGATCTCCATGTCGTTCCAACTCGTTGGTTTCTTGTTGACGTATCTCCTGCACACCACCCACGCCGCAAAGAACGGCAGTCGAGCGGGTCTCGGCCTTACCCTTGTTCAATACGGTTTCTACATGAAAGGCGGCAGCGATTCCTCGGGCGGTGATACTGGCAGTGATCAATATGTCCCGCCTCCAGATCCCAACAGTCACAGCTTTGATCCAAACTCTGTCGGCGAGGGTTCCGGCGGCGACGGCGGTAACGCCCTGTCGGGCATCACTACGAGCGAGTGGATATCATACGTTCTTATGATTGTCGGATGGTTCATTTTGATTCGCGCAGTCAGCGACTTCCTCCGCGCACGGCGTCACGAGCAACTCGTCTTGCAGAGTCCCGATCGAGGATTGGGTGTACCGGTCATTGCGGAGGGAGAACGGTCTGAGACTGTTGTTTAATGTTACATGGGAATTGGATATTGGAAAGGGTCTTCCATCGCGGCGTTTTCCTGGAGGGTTCTTCATTGGAGTTTTTATCTCTTGTCTCTTTTTAGTCACTTTTCTTTATACTCTTTTGGACACCCCATCTTGCGGAGATTATTCCCTGCCCTCTTATCTCTCCTTTTTTTGCTGGCCTTCCCTTCTTTTTGCATTCTCTACACCTCCATGCTCATATTCCATAGCCTTGTAGCTATATTGGAGATACCAACTGTTGAATACGCCACAACCAAGATTTTCTTTTTTTTTCCACTTGCCACGAGCCCTCCTATTGTAATCTGGACGAAGTAGTGAGTTGTAGATCTTTGACATAATTAGATACTCCTTTTTTCTGCTTTTCATCGGTGCCTGCGCAAGCCCACGACAAGCCAACCCCAAGCCCAAGATGAACTGCGCCACACAAGGTGCGGATCAGGCAGCCTTCTTCTTGGTCTTTAGTACTTCCCTTGCGTCGATTAGGTTTAATTGCAGGCCAACTCATTCAGTGCCGACGTATTCAATCCTCGTCATCCAAAAGTTTATATTCCTTTCACTAGGAGAAAGACTGAAATACCAACCTGAACCCTGTGTGGCCCACTGCCGAAGGGACCCGCCGTTGTTTACACTTTACACTCTTCCGCTCCGAAACTCCGCAAGGAATCCGTTGACTTTTATATTCTCGATTCTTCAACCATTGAAGATTGACCCTTTCTAATAATCCCGGGGCCGGCATATCCCGGCCGCGCCCGTCATGTCAGCTATCCCTGCGACTACCCAACAAGGACCCGTCGAGGCTCGCTCGCTCTCGTCCATCACTGCAATCGCCTCGAATCCCCCCGCTTATCCACGCAATCCCACCCATGAGAAGCACGATCCCCTGCAACTCTACATTGTGAGAGTCCCCGGCAGTCAAGGTGCGTTGTTACCGCTTCATTTACGTCCTTTTCCACTCTCCTCCCCGCAATTCCCATCTCATGCTGCTCTTATCGGGTTCATGCTTCCAAGATAAGACGTAGCTAACTGCGGGATGCAATGCGCGCATGACAGACATATTCCTTTCTCCCGTCAAGCCACCCACGAAATCCAGCGTTTCCGCTGAAGCTATTAATGCATCTCTATACTATCTCCATGTCGCGACACCCGAGGACGATGCGCTGCTTCAGGAAGTTGAGCAGGAGCGCGAGAAACAGCTACACCGCCGCAAGGAGGAACTGGAGGCTGCCGGTATAGACGATCCCGCTCACCGAGAGTTCGCCCGTCTGAATAACGTCCGTCGGAAACCTGTCGGTGGAGAGCGAGAGTCTCGTAGCCAGGAGAATCTCTCTACGCCTGCGGCTATACCTGCGCTCACGCCTGGCCTTGAAAATGTTGCCCCTCCACGAGTACCAGTACCCCGCCGGCCGGTGCCTGGGGCACAGGTCTCGGCGGAGAATGTGTCTTTTGCTGGCACGCTGGTTGCAAATGCGCAGCCAGAGATAAATGACAAACCGAGACAGGGCTCGGTGGATTCAATTGGCAATGCGGCTTCGCGGCGGCCTCTGCCTCCACTGCCCCCGAACGAGGAGCCGCTTATTCAAGATCCCTCCAGCGGCGATGATCAACCCCGAAAGACCAATCGCTGGAGTGCGTTCATGGATAATGTCCAAGCCCGAGGGAAGGAGGTCTGGAAAGAAAAATACGAGACTATATCCGCTGGTCGGCATAGTCTAGACGCTAATAGACCGCAATTACCGCCTCGCCCGTTGCATGATGGCTCTCGCTCGCCGAATCGAAGTCCTGGGCAATCTCCCTCTCGCCAGGCCAAACAACATCAACCTTCTCGTGGCAATGCCGGATTTCGTATCACTCTTATTCGACGTGATCCTGCGTCGGGTACGCAATGGAATGTCGCGACGATATCTACGCCCCGGATGGACCGTAATGCTGTTGATATCGAGATCTCGACTCCTGGATATAATCGATTTGCCGGGTCTAATGAACCACTTTCCCTAGCGAGTCTGGCGGCCAATCTTCCTCCGGGAATGCTAAAATCAGCAGGGCCGTCTTTGGCAGCTTCGTTGGGACTTGAGAAGCCCACTGAAACCCAGCCGCAAACACAACCACAACCCCAGCCATCGGGTCCGCGCAAATTCCACCGTCAACTATGTGTATCAAGGCAATTCGAGGATCCCCATGGGAATGTGCGCAGCGCTGTCGACTCTGGTAATGGACATGTCCCGGAGGGCTCCAAGCTGAAGAGCGGCTACTACGTCTTCAACTCTCCGTGGAACGGCACCTGCACCTTCTCCTCCAGCGTCAACGGCCGCAGTCTCAAATGCAAGCATATGATATCTACTCCAGGACATGCACCAACCGGTGATAGCGACGCCAACCCGGCCGTGACCGTCGCCGAAATCCGCTTCAACACGCCTTTCCAAGCCGCAAATCTACACTTCCACGCCTCGCATGCCTCACATCGTCAACACCACCACCACCATCACCAACAGCCTCACACTCAATCCCAAACATCCAACCCAAGCGCAGCCCCAACCTCACCACGCCTTCATATCCCCGACCCATCAAACCCAGACTCAACCACCAAACGACCCTCCCTCTCCCAATTCCTCAACCCAAACAATTTCGCCCGACCCCGCGCCCACTCCGGCCCCAACTCCCCCCTACACACCGGACACCCCCAACGCCAGCACCACCACCCCACGCACCCCCTTCAGTCCAACAAACCTCATCCGACGCACCTCCCTCCGATCCCCACGCTTCTCCCGCGGTGAATTCCGCCATCAGTACCCTGCCCCTCCGTCTCATCGCCGTAGTACGAGCGCGAGCAGTGGGGGCCCGGACTCGGATGAGGATCGATTGGACTTTTCGCTTGCGAGGGAGTTGGCTGGTGGTGGGATGAGGGGGAAGAGTGCTAAATTGGGGAAATTGGTTATTGAGGATGAGGGGATTAAGATGTTGGATTTGGTGGTTGCGGCTTGTATGGCTGTTTGGTGGAGGGGGTATTATCATTGATCGTGTCTTTGGGCATTGTGATTTGATTTTGGTGATTTACATAGCTTGGTGTTTCTTTTCTTTTGGATATTTCACTTTTGCATGCTCATTTAGCTGGTCACATAAGCGGAATTCTATCTTCTTGTTGGTTCCTCAAATATACTTTCATTTCCCATGTCGAGGAAGCGCTGGATTTAGCAATCTAGATCTTCTCGAAATAAGTACACTGGAATACCCAGTTCATCCTCCAGACAGCCACCATCCTTATTAGTAAATATCCCAAGAAACAAATTAAGGCGTAGTCTTCACCTAGCTTACCATAGGTAGAAAGTAACTTCAAACCCTTCAATTCAATGGAATCAATTCTCCACCCTTAAACACACAGATCTGACTACAATAACCTATCTATGCATACTAATCCAAGCAGACAGTATACTCGACTCGAGAACAGTCACCAAAGTGATACCATGTATGGGCAGTCACGAAACAAAGAAACTCAAACAAAGGAGTAAGTGGGACAAAGAGGAGACTAGCAGAAGAAAGAAAAATAAATCATGCAGTTCGTCCGGTCTTTCTCTCGGAAGGTATCTCTTTGCTAATTCATTATGTCAACATGCAGAAAGGGGGAAACCAACGCAACTTGATTATTGGCAGAACCAGCCGAGCCAGAACCAAAACAAGAAAAGAGGAAATCACATTGCACGCATGAAAGGGGAGATGTAAGTAGAATAAAGGCCAAAAAAAAGAGGTTAATTTTTTCTCAAAATCCATGTTCAATGCCAATGAGAAAGAAAACAACAAAGACAAGATCAAGATCAAGATCAATGGTGCACAGAGTCCATGCCGCGCTGCAGCGAGGCCTCCAAATCATTCATGTGCCCGCCGCCAGCGGCCGCCTCCTGAGGCTTAGGCTCCTCGGTCTTCCAGCCACCCTGCTGGTTCTCGGGGATGGGGACGTTAGTCTGCTGGGCCATCTGCTGCTGCTGGGCCGCGTGGGCCTGGGACTGTTGGCGGACGGTGGCGCGGAAACGGATGACCTCGTCGAGGATCATCTTGCGCATCTCGGGGACGTCGTCGACGACTTCGAAGTGGAAGTCGAAGGTGGTGGGGCAAGTAGGCTCGTCCGAGGCATCGTGCCAGATGTGCAGGTATGGGTGCTCGAGGGCCTCCTCGACGGAGATACGCGAGGATGGGTCAAAGGCCAGCATGCGGTCCAGCAGGTCCAGTGCGTCCGGGTTGGCGTTGGGGAATAGTCGCTGGAAGGGGATCTTGGGCATGAAGGGGAGGTTGCGCACGTATTCTTGGGCGCGGGGGGATCCGATACGTGCCAGGGTCTCCTCGTTGGGGGTACCCAGGTAGTGCAGGATCTGGTTCAGCTGATCAACGTAGTCGCGACCCTTGAAGAAGGGACGTCCGCCGAGGAGCTCAGCAAGGATACAGCCCACGGACCAGACATCAACTATGGCAGTTGTTAGTGTTTTGTTTCCTTGCGGACAATAGGGAAGAGGCCGAGTGGGTTATAAGAGAGGGACATACTAGCTTTGGTGTAGCTTTGGAAGCTCAACATAATCTCCGGTGCACGATACCATCTTGTCGCGACATACTCGGTCATATAACCAGCATTCTCCTCCGGGTCAATCGAGAAACCACGAGCCAGACCAAAGTCACAAATCTTCAGCTCGCAGTCCGCATTGACAAGCAGGTTACCGGGCTTGAGATCACGGTGCAGAACGTTCGCAGAGTGGATATACTTAAGACCACAAAGGATCTGATAAATGAAGGATTGGAAGTGCGCATCGGTCAAGGGCTGGCCGGAACGGATGATAGCCGCCAAGTCACACTCCATCAATTCTGCGACGTTGTCAGACGGGAACTTCTTTCCATAGATAGCATGATATTTCCGTACCCTCGTAGAGATATGTCTCGTTAAATTGGTCCGGGCGGGGAATGTCCATATCGTATAGGCAGGTAATCTAGCAGACTCCAAGTCAGCGGGAGAAGGAGGCGGGGTTTTGTTATGAGCGCGAGGGGGAGGCACGTACATTGCGATGGCCACGGAAGTGCTGGAGGAGCTTGATCTCGCGCAGGGCTCGCTTGGCGAGAATCTTTTTGCTGAATACGTTGGTGACTTTCTTGATGGCAACGCCTTCGCCAGTCTGAGTGTTTGTTGCGGCACTGCACGAGGTGGACGTCAGTTTCATCACACGACCCCGAGCTAGCATTCCCACCACGACTCGGAAGTGGCCGACCTACCAGACGATACCGTAGGCACCCTGACCTAGCTCCTTGGTGACATTGTATTGCTCGTTCACGATGAAGTCCTGGTTGAAGACCTTGAAGACCTTGCGGCCCTGTAGATCAGCCATGGCGGGCGGGGGGTTTGAGAAGCGGAGAGGAGGAAAGAGAAAAGGAGAGAGAGAAGAAAAAAGAGGCGATGGTCAAAATTCTAGCGAAAGCGAGAAATGAACAAGAATGAAAAAACGAACGCGCCCGGAGAAACGGTGACCAGAGGAAAAGGGGAAGTTGGCCTTGAGGTGTGATGAGAAGAAAGCTGAGCCCCGCAGTCCCCGCGGGTGATCGGAGCGGGTTTGGTGGTTTCTGGTGGATTATTGGGCCACCAAGGGGGATTCTTATAAGAAGCTGAACTGTAGATTCTTCGGGTCTATGAAATAGACTCGGCTTGAGTTTCAGCTGAAAGAAAGTTCAAGAGCTGAAAATAAGACCAAGGGTTTCGAGGGTGCAGTCAAAGACTCTGAAACGAGCAGCCCTTTGTTGGTGGTGGTGGAGCGCCTTGTCCCTTGTTTGGCGCTGCGGATCACTCGAAAATCCGCCGATCCAGCCCTATCGTTTATGATCTACTGGACAGATCAAAGGATTTTGCTAAGGAAACTATGAGAACGGTATTTACTACTAAACCATTTTTTGGTCTACCTTGCCTATAGCACTGGCAGTAAACCTGGCTAGCAATTTGTTTCTTCGTAGCCTAGAGAAAGAAAGAAAAAGGATAACTCCTGCTCTACTCTTTGTAATGTTCCTCGACAAGATTTCGAAAGGACTTTGTTCATCATAGCCCATGAGATAGTCGGAGAGATAATCCTAGAGCCTTGAAAAAGATCTTTCAGCTCGCGTTGTTCTCTCTGGTCCTAAATTCAGACTTCCATCCAGCCCTGGTGCCAGTCTCCTTAGGTAAGCGTCAATCCAGCCCTAACTTGGAGTTGTCGAAGTATCGACGACAGTTACCTACCTGATAACCGTACAATTTGAGATCGAGTCATGAATCTTTTTTTTTGACGAGCCCAGGGCAGGCATAGTACAGCCACTTCTGTTCTCTTCTGTTGTAGAATCGGAATGGATGTCAGCCAAGAAAGACTACAGAAATGGTAGAAATCAGAAGATGACCTCGGGAGGATTCCACTTTGTATGTAAAACCTTCGTAGGCGCCCAAACAACCTTCGCATTCTGCTCATCATACAAATTCATGCCCCCTCCTTGACGCAAAGAAGAACTCATTCACCATTTCACATTCTCATGATTGTTCACAACCTGAGGCTTGAGAATGAGCTCATTTCTAGCTCAGGATGGCTTCTGCTTCTTAACCGACCTCGAAGGATCGTAGAAGGAGTCCAGCAACAACTGCCTCTTGTGCGAGGACCACGGGTCCACAGCTTCTGAGCCCTTCCAAATGACTCGCTCTCCGGGGGGTTGCACACCAAATCGAAGTACAGATTTGGTATCTGGGACAGCTGTAGGGCTTCCACAATAGCATTGTGATTACGCCCGGTCAGAGGGTCGTCTCTGAACAAGAGAGGGAACAGGAAAGGCAATTTGAGCGGGAAGCTACGGCCGTGAAAGCAATCGTTGCCGAGTATCCGGTCCAAGTTGACTCGGAACTCCTTCAAGAGCAAAAAGACGCGTTCGTTACTGGGAAGCACGTCGTGATGCCCCTCTGCATCGAGCCATTCTCTGACGAGTGAGACGTCGAAATGCCAACTGCCCCATGATACGAACGTTGTTTTTGGTGTGATGTGTATTCATTAAGCTTTGCCACGACGCTCTTCGAATCCGGGGTACCGTGGATAGTCGGCATCAATTTGGACTTCTTCGCCAACAACCTTTCCACCCGAGGAAACGCACTCGGCAGAATTTAGCCTTCCCACACTGACTTGAGGCAATTTTTAGTAGCGCACCATCCCTGACTGGCATCTGCGTCCAAGAAGTTGTGCCAAAGAAACTCGTTTTCCAGCGAGATTGTCGCACCGTTTGGGCGAACCTCTAACCCGAGGACGAGTCCACCAACCATCCTTCATGGCCCTGGGCACTTGAGGCCTATTTTCCGGAGGCTTTGCGCTGTCACCCGCTACTTATTGATAGAGCGTCGGTCACTCTGGTAGGCCTAGGGTTTCAGCGAAGACTACTGAATCATGGGGTTAGCAATGGAGCGTGGGGTAGCAAAATTTGGCATATCTTACCTCGTCAGAGGTTTCTTGTTTTCTAGAAGATTTGTCTTCAGCCAACTGGCTGCCACCGCAGTTGAAACAGTATCGAGCTCCTTCGAGAAGAGAGCTTCGTCTTCTAAGGGCATGGGAGCCACTCGGGTGCCATCATGATGAAAAATGGTGGGGGAAATTGTAGGGGAAAGCTGGCCAGGGAAAGTAGTGGAGAGGGAGTGAGAGAAGTTGAGGAGAAGACTGACTGGAAGATTCCTACCCCTCCTTTAAAACTTCCTTTTTCTAGGCATTTTCCTGGGCAAACAATCATACAATAATAGGCCAAATCATCATGGTCATATGGCAGTTTCCGATATATACGCAGACTACGGATTCTGAATCTAGTGTTCTTAGACAGCCTTCTTATTTTTTTTAAAAAAGTTACTCCAGAGGAGCTCTATCGAGCGTAATCTATGTTTAAGTGCCAATAAGGGTGTTCCAAAGGTTCGATTTTTGGAAACAAGAGAGCGAATAAAAGGCGTAGCCAGATACTCTTCGACATTATCTATTTCTAACTGTCTTTCTAACTGTCTTTCTAATTGTCTTTCTAATTGTCTTTCTAATTGTCTTTCTAATTGTCTTTCTAATTGTCTTTCTAATTGTCTTTCTAATTGTCTTTCTAATTGTCTTTCTAATTGTCTTTCTAATTGTCTTTCTAATTGTCTTTCTAATTGTCTTTCTAATTGTCTTTCTAATTGTCTTTCTAATTGTCTTTCCAAATAGCTCAGGAGACATCTCTCGGTTCGTCTTCCGAAGCATGACTAGTGAGATGGTTTTAAGGTTTGGGCTGGGTGTCAAGCCTATAAAATTCCACTATATTGATCGTAGCCTAAAGGCCCTCTGGTATCGTTGCAGCCCTCTTTTTCATAGTCTAGTGCATCCATATTATAGCGAAAATAAGATACAGGGATTACAACGATCTCGCTTGCGCTAATCATATAGATAAGATGGCTGAGGCCACAAAGCAAGCTATAGAACCTTGTGGCCGGAAACTTGTTCATTAAACTAAGCTTCGTCTTAAACAGGTCTTCCTTTTCCTTTGAGTTCACGCATCAAGCTACCGAGGATATTTGCCTTCCATTAAGTATCTTTTGTTTCGAGGATGAACCCTAATCGCCACCTGAGAAGATTCTACAATAATCATGTACAGAATAAATGCAATTGGATCAGTAGAATACCTGCATGTCTTTCATTTTCATTTTTCATAAGTCAATCACACATATCTCCCCTACAGCTTGTTCTCCAAGCGACGTTCCTTACGCAGCGCAGTCAGCTTCGCCCGAACCTCGTCAAGGGGCACCATCACACCCAGCTTCTGGGTAGCCGGGTCGTCACGGTTGCGGATGTTGACCGAGCGAGACTCCATCTCCTGCTGTCCGACCACGAAGATGAAATTGATCTGAGCCAGTTGGGCGGTACGGATCTTCTTCTGGAGAGTGTTACCAGAGATATCAATCTCCACATTGAACTTGTCCCCACGGAGAATCTCCTGCAGCTCCTCGCAATAGGCATTCAGGGCGGGCATGACCGGAATTATCATAATCTGGCGAGGGCTGAGCCAGAAAGGCCATTTTCCACCAAAGTGCTCCGTCAGAATGCCAAGGAAGCGCTCGAAGCTACCAATGATGGCACGGTGGATAACCACGGGGCGGGTCCGACCAGCTGCGGGTTGGTTGGAGGCCTCACCCTCCGTCTTCTCGCTACCCTCATCCTTGGGCTTCTCCTTATCCACGTACTCAAGCTTGAAGTTGATGGGAGCCTGGTAATCCAGCTGAATGGTGGCACACTGGAACTCACGCTTGAGGGCGTCCGCAATGGTGATGTCAATCTTTGGGCCGTAGAAGGCTCCATCACCCTCATCGATGACCCAGTCGTCGCCCTTGAATTTGGTCATGGCTTTCTTGAGCTGCTCCTCGGCGCGGTTCCAAGTCTCCAACTCACCCATATACTTATCAGGGCGAGTAGACAGCTTCAACTTGAAGGTAAAGCCAAACAAACCATAGATGGACTGCAAGAAGTCGAACAGACCCTCGACTTCAGACTCAATTTGATCATTCGTGCAGAAGATATGGGTGTCATCCTAATTCAATCCATTATCAGTACTCAGCGACACTTCTCGCGGAGGTGCTTAATATTGAAGGGGCTTACCTGCTGGAACTTTCTCACACGAGTCAGCCCGCTCAGAGCACCAGATGCTTCGTTTCTATGAAGAACCCCAAAATCCGCTATTCTCATAGGCAAATCGCGGTAGCTACGATCACGGTGGCCAAACAGGACAAAGTGACCGGGGCAGTTCATGGGCTTCAGGGCCCACTCGCGCTTCTCGACGTCCAATTTGAACATATCAGCTGCATAGTGCTGCCAGTGACCGGATTGCTTCCAGATGCTAACATCATACATGTTCGGGGTCTGGACCTCCTGGTAGCCGCGCTTGCGGTACTCGGATCGTAGCAGCTTCTGAAGGGCATTGAAAATCAAGGTACCGCGGGGTAGCAGGAAAGGACATCCAGGGGAAACCTCGTCGAAGAAGAACAGCTCTTGTGCCTTGCCGATTCTTAGGTGGTTGCGCTTCTCAGCCTCCTCGAGGAACTTCAAGTGCTCCTTCATGGAGTTCTTATCGGGGAAAGCGACACCACGAATACGCTGAAGAGAATCATTGTTCTGGTCACCGAGGAAGTATGCGGAGGAGTTCTTGTGGAGAAGAAGGGTCAATTATTTGACTCTTTCGGTAAATTGGAAAAATGGCGGATAAGACACTTACCTGCAGGATTTTGAAAGTCTTAATCTTGCCTATATTGATGTCAATGGGCTGTCCTGCTTGGTTATGGGATTTCCTAGGACCTACCGGTGTTCTGAATGTGAGGCCCAAGGCACAGATCGACCAGAGTACCACAGCGGTAAACGGTACTCTTCTCCCCAGTCACAAGCTTATCAATATAGTGCAGCTTGTACTTGTTGTACGCAAACATCTTCTTGAGGTTCTCCTTTGTGACTTCCAATCGGTCAAAGCTTTGCTTCTCCTTAAAAATGCGTGAAGCTCTGTTCTCAAGTGCAGGCCAGTCGGATTGGTGCACGACACGTCTATTGGCCATTATTAGTACCAAGACAGGGTTCTCGCACATAGCAGAATCACCGTGCACTTACTCTGCCGGCAGAAATTGATCGTAGAAAAAGTTTGTTGCCGTAGGCGGCCCGTGTGTTAGGAGAGAGCCGAATTCACACTCACAGGCTTCGCCGAGAGCGTGAGCTGACGAATGCCAAAATACAGCACGGCCCTCCTCCTCAGAGAATTTGACTAGCACCACATTGCAGTCACCCTCCAAAGGACGGTTCAGGTCCCACAGCTCCCCATTGACCTTTGCAACAACAACGTCGGCGCTCACATCCTTGGGTACGTCACGCAGGAAAGAGCCGGGGGTGGTCTCGTTGGCCTTTGCGGGGACAGAGTAGGGGTTGCCGTCACCGATATCGAGGGTAACTTTGATCTCGGAGCGCGGGCGTGACTTGGCCTCCTCCAGATGTTGTTGCCAAAGTTCCTCGAATAGGTTATTTCTCTCCACAAGCCAGTTAGGGAGAACGTCGGCGGCGGGGGCTTGTTTTTTGGCATCTTTTGGCGGGGCGGCAGCGTTTTGAGCGTTGTCCTCGGCCTGGGCGGCAGGGCGCACAGGCAACTCCTTGGGGGCTTCAGAAGCCATTGTAGAATCTCTCTGGGTATTTGCAGAGAAATTGTCCGTCGAGAGACTGAAGGGAAGGGAGGTGTCTGACCTGACTCATTTGTTTTGCATGGAGGGGAAAATGACTCGTTGGTGAGGGACGGGCGGTGAGTCATGTGACTTCAAACTGCCCTGGCTAGCGACGCTTTACCGTATGAAGTTTCCACCACTCGAAAACTTCTTCGCCCAAGAACCCCCAACGACAACAATCTTCAACATGTCTTTCCGTGGGCGTGGATCCGCTACCGGTGCGAACCGGGGCGGCTTTGGTAACCGTGGTGGTATGCGAAATTATTTCCGGTGCTGCGAGGTCATGATTGTTCGGAGGAGCTAACGAAATTTTTTTTGGGTTGCAGGCCGCGGAGGTTTCCAGCAGTCCTTCGGCCCCCCCGCGCAGGTTCTCGGTATGTATTGCTCAAATTGACGAATTGTGGAATGCGATACTGATAATCAATCATAGAGATGGGAACTGTCATGCACGCTTGCGAGGGTGAGATGGTTTGCGAGTCGATCAACCCCAAGATCCCCTACTTCAACGCCCCGATCTACCTCGAGAACAAGGTACACCGCCCCGGATAATCACTATCAAACACTATTTGCTGGCCATGGATCTAATTTCATTGTGATAGACTCCCATTGGCAAGGTCGACGAGGTTCTCGGCCCCATCAACCAGGTGTACTTCACCATCAAGCCCCAGGAGGGCATTGTCGCTTCCTCGTTCAAGCCCGGTGACAAGGTCTTCATCGGCGGCGACAAGCTGCTCCCTCTTGAGAAGTACGTTTTCAAGACATTCTTTCGTATATTCTATTGTCTTGCGCATCGAAATTGACTCATCTTCCCCATCTAGGTTCCTTCCCAAGCCCAAGCCCCCACCAGGTGCTGCTAAGCCCAAGCGTGCTGGTGGTGCCCGCGGTGGTCGCGGCGGTGCTCCCCGTGGCCGTGGTGGATTCGGTGCTCGCGGTGGTGCTCCTCGCGGTCGTGGTGGATTCGGTGGCCGCGGTGGTGGCTTCTCTCGTGGCGGCGGTGGCAGCTTCGGTGGTCGCGGCGGTGGCTTCTCTCGTGGTGGTAGTCGCGGCGGCTCCCGCGGTGGCTTCCGTGGTCGTGGTTAAATGACCTTTTCTAGCCGAATAACTTGTCTTCTTACGGCGTTTGGGGGATTCGGGAGCTTTCTGCAGGAATATTTCCTTTCTTCTTGTGCATCCTGACACAATTACTGCTTTCCTGGCTGCAGGGACTGTAGAATATATCCAGTCACACAAAAACATCTGATTTCTGCTGTTACACTTGTTATTCAAGTTTCCTGTCCCATGATAACAAGCTCCCATTGAACAGTAGTATAGCTGAGCCCAGTCAAGTCCGTCCGCTAGAGCTTTGTAACTTTTTTCCATGTGGCTAGTGAAATGTGGCGCAGCCCCGGGGTGCACCGCCCGGTCACAGTACTGCCAAGGTGCCCTCGAAAATGACGTTGACCGCTCTGCGACTGTCACTGTGCGTCTTGTCAACACTCTTTCGAAGCAGGATTATTGACTGCCATTCTGAGTCCCGCAACCCCCCTTTTCCACCTTCGACGACAGCCATATCCATATTTCAGCATTCATACCCTTTCTAAGTCGCTCTCCATCTGAGCATGTCTCGCAGAAAGTCCACCATGGCGCCGAGCAGTTCCAACAGCGGTGTCTCGTCCGCCGGCGACGGAGGTTAGTTTGCGATCAGCCCTGGACCCCTCGTGCGCGTGCTAACCGGGTCTCTACCAGGCCAAGAAAAGCAGAAGATGCTTCTTTCCTCTGAACACGGCCACTTTAGCTTGGTGAAGTCAGTATCTGGGATATTCTTTGCTGCTGCCTAACCGTAAGGGCACGTTCTAATATTGTCGCAGGGCTCTTCATCTTGCCGATCTGGTGACCGAACTCAACGGTAAGACTATTGCCCCGCCGAATCAACTTTCTGGGCGATTTCAATGGCTAATATGACTCGTAACAGGTTTCTGTGGAGGCAAGTCGATATGTCCCAATGGCTCGTTCTACTACTAACCTTAGGGAAATAGTCATGTCCGTCTTCTCCTCCATGCGCTACTGTCTCGGCGACCCCTCCGATTACAGTGCTCTGTGGGCCGCCCTCGCATTCATGCCATTCGGTCTGTTCTTCGACTTCATGGACGGCAAGATCGCTCGTTGGCGCAAGAAGTCCTCGCTGATGGGACAGGAGCTTGACTCGCTTGCGGATCTGGTATGAACCCTTCGTGACGGGGTACAGGGTGTGAACTATATACTGATCCTTTGATGCGCATGCGCAGATCTCCTTCGGCCTCTCTCCCGCCGCCGCCGCGTTCGCCATTGGTATCCGCACCTCGCTTGACCACTTCTTCCTGGCCTTCTTCGTCCTCTGCGGCCTGACCCGCCTGGCTCGCTTCAACGTTACTGTGGCTGTTCTTCCCAAGGACAAGACTGGAAAGTCGAAATATTTCGAGGGCACTCCTATCCCCACGACTCTGTCTATTGCCTCCCTGATGGCCTACTGGGTTTCCCAGGGCTGGACTCATGAGAACATTCCCCTCGGCCTTATTGGCGAGGGTACTATCCTCGAGTTCCACCCCGTTGTTCTCTTGTTTGTCTTGCACGGATGTTTGATGGTCAGCAAGACGATACATATTCCTAAGCCTTAGACGAGGCATGGACAAAAGAACCTAGGTGGGCAATTTGCAATTGCCCGTGCCCGTTCCCCTTCAGTTGGATGAGTGATTGTGAAAATAAAGAATGAGAGATACGAGACTGTTGTCTATAAGTGAGCCTGGACACAATCTCAATATACTTAATTGAGGATGATTCCCCTTTCCTATGGGTTTCGGCTACATAAACGAGAAGATCTTGTGAGGTACTCTGTTTTATATGTACAATGCATGAGAATGGCGCAATGTCTTCAACAGGTATTCTGGGTTGATCCAGAATCTTTAGCGTCATGGGGTAATGTGAGATAGTCCATGAAATCGAAGAAATGAATAATATTCTTTTGAATTATACTTGAAGTCAACGAACTAAATGTAAAAGCAACGAAGTCGTTGTTTGGTACGGATCGGCCGGAATTCTGGGAACTTCATATCAGGGCGCACACGCAATTCTGACAAGCGCATCCAGATGACTGACGAACAGCGTCATGACAGCCCAATGGTTTTTATAGTAATACAGAACTACTCCTCAATTGAAAGACACACGTTTAATGAAATAAGATATTTCACTTATCCAGAAAGGCAGGAAAAGTAAGTTAGATGACCAATTAACTATAACAAAGACCAACATAGTCCAGTTCCCGATGACATTCATTCCGAAACGAGAACCTTCTCCAGAACCGACACCGACATGTCGCTCCTGTGGCCTAGAAGCTAGTCTCAAAGAAGTCCGTGAAGACAATCCCAACGGCAATGCTGACCGACCATATTACCGGTGTTGTCCATGCAACCGATTTCTCACCTTCTGTGACAAACGTGGCCTCAGTCTTATAAATCCAGTGTGCTGGTGCGGCAAACCTAGTCGGCGACAAGTAAATGGAGAAGGACATAGGGTTCCGAGAGGTGTCCATTATGTATGTGTCCGGGGACGATGCGGTTTCTATGACCTCGAAAGGGATGTGGATGGGAGTCAATTTCAGATTGAGAGGGGGCTGCGGGAGATGTTTGTTGAGAAATGCTATATTTAAAGTTTCTTGGCTTTACATTGGATTGTTGAGTTTTTTCTGATAGTGATATTTCCGAGGGACATCGGTTCTAGTTTGTTTTTTTGATAGGGATATCATTGGGAGACAGTCGTTGACTTCGAAATTTGCCGAATAGGAGTGATGTCGATGTTATTTCTTGACTACTTTCGCTAAGATTGCACAAGTGACATGAATTCCCCGATCTTATATGCTCTCGCTACGCTGTTCAATGATAAATATAGTAGGTGCTGATTTTGATGATGGACGAGGTGAATATGTTGCATAGCAAGTCTACCAAGACAGCATAATCACAACTATCATCCCCGTTCCACCAGCAACCAGATTGGTAATCACCTTCCAGAAAACAAACCCCTCGAGACTCATATTCATAGCCGAGTATCCCGACCATTAGAACGACAGGTCACGGGTCACCGTTAAGTCGTGTGCTCAAATCCACCACGATGGGGTCCCTCAAAGCCCCGAAAAAACTCATCAAGTTCTAGACCACGACAGAAGCCCCGACAGACCGAGTCAAAAATCCCACATGCAGGGTCCTAGTACACATTGAGTCTTCTTTTCAAGTCCAGAACCTGTCTAGACCTAGAGCCTCGTAACTAATTTAAATACTGTACAGAATACTGCATACATGGGAGATGAAATTCCGTATGCACAGAACCCGATCGGTGTCCAGAAAAGTCGGATGAACACGGCGGAAATTTAACCCATGCGCCACTTTGTGGATGCTGGTTATTGTTTTATTCTCGGCCTGCAGAGATAGCCTTTGTGCTTTGTTCTCGGTACTGTAATTTTGATTTAACGGCGCAAGGGACTGGCAGTGCCTAAGTCATTTCTTTTGGCAGGTGGGGAATTTAATCGGGCTAGTGGGCGCCACTATGCCATAAATAACAGTGTGGTGAGTCAAGAGGGTGTCCTTGGATAGGCCTGGACTGCCTAGAGTCTTGTTGTTCATGCTGTACAATGTTTATCGGTGGTCTCGAGGTGCTGTTAATGTAGTGATTGTATGGATGTAAGATTGAGTTCAGATGTATGTCGGGATACCGGTCTGGGATCACCCGCGCGACATATCTGATAGATGGACTGTTGAAGGGGTGGCTCTTGATACATCATAGCTACCTAACCTAACAGCTTAGGCCTTTGGTTGAATGGAGAATATGATAACTCGTTGTTTGGGCTACATGTTTGTTTCGATTACTATTGAGGATCAAATATGTCGTCGGCATCGCATCATCCCCACACACGGCAATCTCGGAATCTCGAGAAGCTGCTAACAGAGCAAGTGACGGTTATGTTGTCGATTCAATCTGATCGATGGTTGGTTCGCATGGGAGCATCTCATATCTGTGCTCTCCTGTCCATTAAATTTCCTATGGGTTTAGTTAGGTGTTGGTGTTGCTAGAAGCACCCACTCAGACCGAGATATATATCTCACCGTGCATGCAACAATTACCTAGGTAAAGACTACCACCAGGATATATGATCCTTTAGCACCCTGGACAGTCTCAGTACAATCCGCCATAGCCAGGGTAGTATCTTCTGAAACGGTAGTCAAAAATCGACCACTCGACCTAAACAAGCCTTGCTTTGAATGGTGATAGTGGCAGTGCACTTGGACTATTCTGATCCAGGTGAAACATAATGATACGCGGGGTATCCGATACTGCTTGGTGGTATTGACTTGATCATCCTTCGAATTCAGGGTTCTTTTTGTCTATTTTCTTTGATACTGAAACCGTTGGAGTTGATTTTTTGCCCAAAATACAAACTGAATGGACTCGTCTCGCACGCGAGCATCGTTAGATTGTGTCGATTGTCTCCGGAGTGGGCCTGCTGCAGGGTGCGGGTGATCCAGATTTTCGTTACGACAATACTGTAGTATGGATGTAATGATATTACGGATGTACCATACAGAAGACGTCTCAATATTTGGGTACAGATGTTGGTCCACTCCGGGAGTGGCCGCGCAAGACCCGTGGTAATAATGCTGACAAAAAAAAGGGGTTGTACGGAGCTTTCAGAGGAGAACTACAGATACTGGAACACTGGATGGTGGAGGGAAGATAGGAAGTTGATGAATGTGTCATATACTTCAACTTTGCGTAGACGGAATACTATGGCTTGGCTTGTGACAGGATGCCCTCAAGCCAAGCATCGACTCGCCGCGAGTGTTTGTTACATCCATACCCGTACCCAGACCCCCGGACACGGCAGGCAAATGAGCTCCATGCGCTAGCAATCTTCATTTCCTTTGAATCCGTACTAGGGGACGATAGGCATGAAGCGAGATGGCATTCGATGACCCTGAAAATAATCATAATCTTGGCATACGCAGGGGACAGTATGGAGGTGTTCCCACTCAATATATCTGACAGGACAACTTGTGCGCCCGGAAGAACAGGTGATCGGGCAACTCGAACGGTGTCTCTTCGGAGATATCAGTAAACGCAGAATTGAACGCCTGTCTCAACGGCGAGTACCGAGTACTCTGTACCTATTGTAATTGGTTATGGACTGTACCGAGTATGTAAGTTATTTCGGTCGCAAAGGGTACCCGATAAAGGCCCGGGATGCAAAGAAGCAGCCACAACTGTATGGCGTTTTATGAGAAGTATTGTCTGGCTGATCCGTACGCTGCTATCCTAATAATACAATTGCAGACTACTGTACACAAAGAATCTCTAGTATGATGTCTTTGACCGAGGTCAGCGGATAATAGCGTCGAAGGTGGGCGAAGAGGGGTTGATGTGGCGAGAAAGGACGATCATGGGCGAGAAAAATGTGCGTGGCCCTGTCGGATTCGAGCAGCAGAGTACCACCAACGTCAAGCAGACATTTAGAGCGCCATCCTCAGCCGTGTGGCAGCCAAAGTGGAAGGGGATCGACTGAGTGGCCCCTGGTTGACGCTGATTGAAGGTGAAGGCGATGGAGCGGGTGCCTGATTAAGTCAGGTAATTTGGGGACGATGATTGGATGGAGAGGAAATGGTTCCATTGATACAAAGTGGGGCCGACAAATTGATTATTTTGGGGGTTTGGTATTGTAATCTGGTATTGGTCATACATATTACATTGACTTGACTCGACAAAGGAACGACGAAACCCATCATGTACTTTGAGGATGTACCTGCATCGGTACCTAAGCAGTATCTGAAGAGAAGAAGATAAGAATAATATATTCATATTGCATTATCAAGCACTGCAATAGATGGTGTATTTCCAAATATTTCCAAGTACTCCAAGTACTCGATACCTAGTGTTTCCCTAGGATTACATCACAATACAGTACCCCAGGGCCCCAAACTCGCCGGACCCCTTCGTCCCTGAATCCACTCTCGACAACACACTAAAACCGATGGAGTGAAAGGCCCCCCCATACTAACTCCCGTTTCGCTGCGCACTGTCACCTCCTTCGTCCCTGAAGATTCTCCTCCTTCCTCTCACTCACACCCACACTCGTTTTCTCTCGACTCGCCGAGACCATCAACCTTTCGACTTCACCACCAGTTCCCAACCCGACTGGTCTGTGATACAACCTTCCGCCCGTTTCGAAAATCCTGATCCCATAAACAAAGCCCGACTTAGGGGGTGAATCTCTTCGACCTTGAGATTCCATCGTCTGCTTACCTCGGGACTTGTGTACTCATCCTCTCGCTATCAAATCTCGATTTTCGATCCCTTCATCCTTTCCTATTCCTTTCGCTTACCTTTGTTTGCTCGTCACACGGCGTCGACATACCCTTCCCATCAGATCCCCGCTGAACCCGGTCCACCCTGACGGTGCCGCGCCGACCGGTAAATCTACGCGCCAAACACAAGCGGTGTTTTTGATGCGACTCGCACTATCGACTTGACGACTTTGATAGACACCTTTTTCCTTTTTTTCAGAAGATCTCAAGGGTTACGCGGGTCGTTTCCTGGTTCTTCAATTTCCATAAACGCTTCGACTGTGTCTGACGCGATACTTCGTTCTCTGCACTCGTTTCCATACAACCTCTGCTCGAAACCCAGCCTTTTCTCTCTCGAATCAATATGCACTTCAATATGCGAACCGCCCTGACAGCCTCGAGCATTCTGCTCGCCGCTGGCTCAGCCACGGCTAACTCCATCGAGGTGTTGGCTGCTCGCTCCATGACCCTCGTTGGTTGCTACAGTAGCAGCGACGGCCTTACCAATCAGACATCATACACATTCCAGAGTTCTGGATGGTGCTATGACCGTTGCACTGGATATAATGCTGCCGTGTTCGCCTTGACGGCAGGCTCCGACTGCCTCTGTGGTGACGAACTGCCTCCCTCATCAGCAAAGGTGGCCAAGGGAAAGTGCAGCACAGCCTGTGATGGTTGGCCCCAAGATATGTGTATGTTGACCCTTTCGATTATATAGTCTGACTGCGCGGAGAATATGATCATTGATGGCTAACTCTCTTTTTAGGCGGTGGTGATGGTTTCTACTCAGTTTACACAACCGGCCTGGAGAGTTCCGTATCTGCAGCCTCAGCATCGGCTTCCAGCGGTAGCAGCACCGACGAAGCCACGGCTTCCAAGACGGATGCTAGCGCCGCTTCCGTCTCTACCGATTCTGGTGGCCAAACGGTCGTTGTCACTGCCGCGAGCGAGCAGAAAACCACCGACGAGGCATCCAAGGTTAAGAGCAGCCACAACACTGCGGCTATTGCGGCCGGTGTGGTGGTTGGTGTTGTCGGTGTGGCCGCTCTGGCCGGTGCTATCTTCTTCTTCTATCGGTCGAAGAAGCAGAACGCCGAGGGTGGCTTCCGTGGTACGACCGGTGGCTACGGCCGTGATTCGCAGCCACCATCCATGTCGGACTCCCGTTTCGACGGAGACTACATGGCCCAGCGCCGTCAGAGCAACGGTAGCATCGATGATGACCATGATTTCTCTCGCCGAATCCTGCAGGTTAGTCACTGAAAGTGTCCTGTATCGTATTCAACGAATTTGCTAACGTTATTCTAGGTCACCAACCCTGACCGTCGCTAAGCGACTCTGGCGTTTCTTCTCACATGTTCTTCTACCACTACCTCTCTCGTTGACCTATTGAAACCTCACCTTCACCGACTGTCTCTTTCCTCCCTCGATCCCTCCTACCACTTGCTCTGTGAGAGCCTTTTGTTCTCTTGTCTATCATATTTTCCTCGGGTTATTTTAGCGGAGTTATGATATCCGAAAGGCATATGGCTCGACCCTATTCGTGTCCATATTTTGGTCAATTTGTATTCTCTTCTCTTCTTCACTGGCCTTCTGGACGTACGTTGCTAGGCAACTGTATCGGGGCGAGAACAAAGCGCTTGTCTCGTAACCTGCTGCAGAACATGTCCACCGTATGGAAGACAAATGATTCACACCACCACTGAAAAATTCGACTATTCCTGCTCATTCAGAAACATGTCTCGGTGGCCTGTGCAAGTCTGCCAGTCTACCCTCTATCCGAAAAGGCGTTAATTGATTTCGGCACTCTTTGATTCGATCGATGCTCTCGCGCTTACCTATTATCTATGAGTCGATCGGTTGCTCCTGTCCATCACACGAAACTATTTCCCTTAACTTTTCTTTGGTTCCCATGTTTCATCTTAAGCAGCCCTATTTTTGCTCGAATATCTTGCTCGGTCTGGAGGAGATGCTGGTTTGTGCTCCTTGTGGATCTTCGGAGTCGAGGTTGTGAGTAAAAGAAGGGCGAATTAGCTTGTATCTAATGCGAGAATGGATGTGTATGTCAATATGGATCTTTGTAGATTGACTGTAGCGAGATGAGATTATAGATGGACTTGTGTTGGCTGTTAGTATGAATCCGTGCCTTTCGAACGTATACTTGACGCGCGTGTCAGTTCCTAGTTCATCTCGACGGACAACTCGAAAGGCTTTGAAGTCTTGAGCTTTGCATGATGCTAGCCTTAGGGCCCAGCCCAATCGGTAGGCTCATGGTCAGCAGGAATTGTCAATCGAGAGAATACACTACTGAGGAAGAATAAGCATGCTGATACCTAGTGATGGTATCTCGAGATGGCTGCATACCCATCAAAGGCTTATTCTAAAACATTTATAGGCCACTCTTAAGCCTAATCTCAACAGGGAGGGATCTTAATGATAGAGTACCCAAACTATCTCGACTTAGTTTGAAACTCATTGGTGCAAGTGACCTGGAAAGCTCCAAGTCTCGTCTTTATCAAATATGATTCTTGATTTTCTGCTATACAGTTTCTGGCACAAGGATATCAAAAAGTACCATAATTAACGGCAAGAAGGGCCTCAATCTTCATTATCATATCTTCTATCCCTTGAAGATATGATAGATGTCAATACCAAAATAGCAGCCACCAACCCCAAATCCCAATAACTCACAACTTTCCATCAACATGTTTCCCATCCTTTCCCGGCAAAACACTTTTCAAACACATACACCCAACAATCCCAACCAAAGACCCAACCCCGGCACCCCCCAGAACCCCCCTCAAATTTCCAGCCGCGGGCCTAGCCAACCCACTCGACACAACAACAACGGCTCCAAGCACCGCCCCAGGCTCCCCCCAATTATCAACAGCAACCTGACCAGAATTATACCGTAGCCGCCAACTGCGATCTTTCCACTCGATCTCGTCGCGACCCCACATCCGCGCAACCAGGGCAACACCGGCTATGCCTGTGCCGATGATGGCGCCGGTACCCGCTGAGCGGAGGAGGATGGGTGCTGTGAGGGAGCGGCGGTTTATGAGGTATGCGGCGCCGCTGTTCAGGAGGCCGATTGCGCTGCCGAGTTGGAAGCCGCGGATGAGGACGTGGGTTGTTAGGATGGTGCGGGCTAGGGGTTGGTCTTCGGCGTATTCGGCTGTTGGGAAGAAGGTGGACATGATGTGGATATGTGGATGTAGATGGACTGGAGATAGGCTAGATGGGATATTGCTTCTGGTAGGTACTGATAAGTGGCATATTTTTCGTGGTTCTGCCCGTCTCGTGAGGGGAGACTGCTACTGGTTTTATGAAGAACATGCGGGGGTAACCCGACGGATCATCGAGTCACGGGTGTAGCATTGTAGTCGGATTTGGTGGCTTCGTCGTTCAAGGGTTGAGGTATCCAATAAGCTGTTCGCTGGTTGAATTGCTGACGGGTGCTTACAGTGCATTCCTGGGGTGGCGATTGGCTGCGAGATGCTTGTAGGAGATAACGGGGGTATCTGACTACATCATACTTTTTGGAGCTTAGAGATATAAGTATAATGGTATTCCCCAAATCAACGAGTCAGGAATTCTTGACAAGGGAGGTACGGATAAGGTGTTAAACGTGGAGGTGGATATCCAAACTGCCAGATCCACTTCTCTTCACCTCGGCTTTCCATAACCCTTGCTACAAATCGCGTCGGTCGGCCTGTCAGTTTTTGAATTGCGATGCTGTCTTTGACAGCGCTCACCTCTTCATCTTCCGATAGCCCATTTAATGATCGCCTTGCTCACTCTAATACACCATGATCGGAATCTGGAACAGTGACCCCTTCCTATGTCGGTACTCACCTCTTCCCCCTTTCAATGCCGTCTCAAACCGACGAATGCGTCGCCTCTGCAGGGGATTTCTGGAAATCGCTCTAGACGGACGAGATGAATACGAGTCTCCGCACGAACTACTCGATTGATTGAGACATTTTGAATGCACTGAGGCATTAGGTCTAGAGGGTATGCTGATTATTTACCCTCACAGATGACCCATCGAGGTAGTGTTGTGCATACCCCTCCTCCATATCATGCCGGATCCATTCAAGGAAAGACCTCTACCAAGACAGCAAGCCAGAATAGTTGCCGGAGTTCAGTCGCCTTTGAATTGTACTCCAGGATCCGAGGGGCCTTGACTCCACGCCCAAATATGAGCGCCCAATATCGACTTCAAACGACCCTATGGATTATTGATGACCTCCACACCAGGACCTAGTGGAAGATGAGAAGATCTTCATCGAGGAGGGGTTTACCAAGGCCAGACGGTTTGCTATAGACCGCTGGATAAGCCAGCACGGAAACTCCACAAATCCCATGCTGGACTGGAAATCTTTCTTACCATTCGGGAAATGGGGAAAGCTCTCTCTTCTGGAAATTCTCGTGAGTTATCTCTCTCCCACAATCATTTACTGCGTGATAGTCTACCGTGTGAAGTGACTACTTCTCTTCGAGATGGAAGTTGAGACTGGTAAGTATAAGTGAATGTTACTGATATCAAGAGGATTATTGGGACCTCGCCCCTGCCTACGTTGAGTGCGAGCAAGGTGTTAATAGGCTTATATCTAGCTGCTGTTACCAAGAAGGTTTATCAAACGAGTAAAGCTTTCGACGTCAGAACTCATGACCGAGAAGCCTCTCAGTCATGGTTTCTGGTTTTAATGGTTCCAAATCCCACAGGAAACACTCATATATGGGACATAATAGCTACCTTCCACCATAAATTGCATTATGTATGGATGACCTTTCTTTGCTAACAGCACCCCTAAGGCGATGGATATGCTGAGGTAAAACATACTACCGATCAGGAGATCACTCAACAACAGCAGTCGGGAGTGTAGACGACGACTGGCAGAAGAGGGGAACATGAGCTTCCCCGTAAGCCAGGCTCGAACAAACCTTGGATTACGTTTAATAAGAGGCCTCTACTCTAGTATTTTCTGTAGTTAGCATGCTGGAGTTGATTATCCGAGTCGCGGGAAGACAAGAGGTCCGTATCACTCGACGTCCCAGATGATCGAGATATAGGAATGGGCAAGGCTAGAACATAAACGACCGAAATGGACAGTAATTAGAGGTAGACTATGGTCTATATTGATTTAGTGATGAAGGCCATCGTTGGGCTACCTCTTTTCAACCAGCCACGACGAATTGATAATGCCCGACATACTAGATCTGACTGGAATGTGTTACGAATTAGCAACAAAGCAAACAAAGGACATTTGAATCAAATAGTCAAACCCATTTACTTGAACGAGTAAATAGAAATAAGACTCCAAAAGGGAGACTTGAGGTATTTGAACGATCTGCATAGTTCTGGTTCGTGTGGCCCATACGGCAAGCATATGGTTCTGAGTGTATACCCACCACTTCAATAGAGCCATTCTCTTTACACAAATTTCCCAGCAAAATACCCTCTCAGGGGCCCTCTCGAGGGCGGGCCATTTACCCCCGAATTCCAAACTACAAACCTCACACGAGCACCAGTGCTCGTTTGCATGACATCACAGATCAAATGCGCACCGGCTTATACTAACGAAGAAGGATGCCGAATGTTACGACTCAAAGCCTCTGAGATCATCTCGAGAATGCCACGGCTGTGGGGATCAAGCTAACCATTCTAATTCGGCATATGCCAGCTGCAATCGACAAGTCAACCAACAGAAGTAAGACAAAATCTGAGGGGCTGGTTCGGGTCACCAATGTATGGACGAACAGATCTAGACCAGAGGAGCAATTAACATGAAATCTAACAATTCATGGTAATGGACCCAACGGCGAGCAGCATAATTGTAGAAGAGTCATGCTCGAAATCATCTAACTTTCGTCAGACCACATTGCTGGTCAGAATCTCGCAAGGCTGGTGCCTAGACAGGGTGGTATGGATTTCAAAATGGTGTGAGAGGAGGTTGCAGAGAGACCAACGAATTGGGTGGAAGGATCGAGTTACTGAAGCTACGACAAGCCATGGCCAATTTCCCCCTTGGACACTCCACACCAATCCATTGCATTTGGGCCAACTGCTCCTAGTCACCCAATCTCTACCTACCATAGTATTATTTGCGAGTACTACTTCTCAGCTATCTCCCAACCAGAGACCCCCACCACAATTTTGCGGTGAATAATCCCAGCCCACAACAAAAGGACGGCGAAGGATGAACTAGCTCACTAGTCCCTGAAAATCAACCTTCAGCCTTCAGCACCACTTGCCACTCAGCTCACGTTATCAGCTCCCCACCACTATCCTCCATCTTCAGCTTTGGGGAATCTTCTTGGTTTAGTTCAGGCGGCCAGTATAACCTTTTTGGCAAGGGAAATCAAGTCCAGGCAAGCATGAAAATCTCATGCTCCATGGCCGGGGGAGAACCAAGTTTCCTCAATCCTACTGAGTTTGAGACAGAATGAAAGGAAAAAGTGCGACTCGACGAATAGCAGTAGTGTTGGTATCCAACAGCGGCAACGTTGGCGCCGGAGAAATGATGTCATCGTGCGTTTGGCGATCATGTCGGTGGCAGTTGAGAATCAATTCGATAGGTCTGGCGCCGGACATGTCAATAACGTGGATTTGAAAGCGCTTTTGTGCATTGAAGGAAATGGGCGGGGTAACTTGGTGATTTGTGGACTCGTAGTCGCTGTTGGTTGCTTGTTGGTTTATGTTGGCTGCACCAGAAACCATTGGACAGTTCGGACAATGCAATTGACGTCGAAGAAGCTTGGGGCTCACTTTCTTGCGGCGATTATTATCTAACACTTTATCCCCTCTTGGAAATCAAATGTTGCTAATTACTTTACTCTTCTCACTTCACCGAGATCGAATATTAACTGCCTTTGTGGAATTGCAATGGCTTTAGGTTACTACCTAACCTTAATGTACCTATTCGCTTACCTATGCTTGTTGCGGAGTCGATTACGCACTACGTCACTCATCAAAAACCAAGAAGATAACGTGGCTGGCGCCCATTGACTGGCCCGCCATTTCATGCATTCACATCTCCACGACTTAAGCTAGCTAGGCGTCCGGACCGAGGGATATACATGATAACGATCATAGTTCCTCAAAGCAGCTCTCTATAAGCCCATTTGAGGAGCCTTTTGCGATAAATGATCTCCAACGGGGCAATATCTATGCGGGTGACGGTTCGCCCGGGAGAAGGTCTGATTGGTAAACCTGGGGTAGTACATATGCAACCCCATCAGTGGTAAGAAGTGCGATATACAACACGCCTTTGCTATGAGGTGCTGTCCGAAAGTGCGGTAAAGATGATTAACGGGATATGAATGGTACCGTGACTAGGTAGGCTTCATCTCAAAAAGTCATTAATACGCTCATGAAGTCCGCATAAGTAGCTCTCTTTTCTTGATTTGACCGATCTGTAAATGATCCTCCGTGGAAAGTGACTTCCTTAAAGAGGGTCAGAGGTTCATTAGGCAGACGGAACTTGACGGATTCAAATGTTCTGCTCATCAAGCACAGATGGAACGCGTGAAATGCAGTGTAATCACTCAGAGTCTACTCAGAGGGTTAGTAAAAACACTCTTCATTCGTACAGCCGGGGAAGAAATCGTCGGATGCCTGCGGACACTCGATAATTCTATCAGTAAGCAGCTGCACACGTGTACATCACCTAGTGATAGCTGATTAGAGTCCGGCCTGCATACCACAATGAGCCCCAGACCAGCATTCGACATCCAGGTTCTCACAACTACATTCTGTCTCAGTACCTTCGTACATAAGTGTAGTCGAGAAAGAAATACCTCGAGCATGAAACATAATGCATATGATCAGCAAGATGCTGGAAAGGCGTTCGATCGGGCGTGCATTCCACTCGTGGTCTGTCCTCGCAGAGTTAGCCCAAGTTGGTAAAGATAGCATCCACACATGGCAAGAAGCGAAGATGCAGATGCACCATGCAGGCTTAAATGCCGCTAGCAACCAACCCGCATACCAACAGCGCCGCAATAACAGCAAAAAGGGGGGTTATAAAAAGAAATACTCTATGATCGGCACGCCTAAGCCCGCAGAAGCCGCAGGAAGTCCACGTGTAAGCAATTTGAAACAAGCGGTCCAGGATCACTAACCCTGTCGTCTGTCGCAAGTTCTGTTACATTTACCCAGAGAGTGTTAGCCCGGCATGAAGCGTGCAGCACCTAGCATGGAAGCTGCAGTAGCGGCACCCTCTAGCGTACCATCCGTTTCCTAATTAGGGCTTGCTGCGGCCGAATTGGGTAAATTAGCGGCTAACTAACCCCCTGGTTCGTTGGGTGTACTAAACCCCTCCCTTGCTGGTTTAGCGTAATTTTGTATGCTAATTTTGCTCATTCGGGCAGTGCATGGACTGGTTAGTGATCTGTAACTATGTATGGAGCACCCCCATGTATTTACCTGATCCTTCGGCCACATGGTCCCAGCAGGGATACTCATCCTGCTTACCACCCACCAATACTGAAGCTAAACCAAGGATTCTAGCATTATTATAGATGGGAGAGGCTCAAGAGGTCATAATAGGCTTTGGATGAGTAAGTGATGAAGTTGCAGAGCCTACCTCCAGGAGGGCCTTTCGGCCGTCGGAGAATCAATTAATCATGTACAGTACAAGATTAAGTTCCCACGAGGAAAAACAAAGCTACAATGTAACATCGAACTGCACGTTTTTCGATGACAAAATTCATCCCGGCCTCCTCCCTTTCGCATGCCTCGATGGAGATAACAGGTAAAACCATCTAGCCAAAGTAGTACAAACTTATCAACTAGATCACGGGGCCAAAAAGTCGAGTTCAAACCGAAAGAACGTTCAAGTCGCACTGTAGCACGTGCAGTTCCAATGTTGTACAAGATCCATACTTTAGATAATGTCCTCTTTGTAGTTTCTTCCAACAGCAAATTCTGAAACACGATCGATCGAGCCGTCACACCCCCCTCGGGGCTATGCGATCATCACCCGAACCAGCCAATAGTATACAAGTGATGTGCACTCCGGACGGATCTCGGGAAGGGGGGGGGGGGGGTGCTCAGATTCCTCACAGGGCAGACTGCCCCTACCGAGTCTGCCTTGCCATCCCGACAGCCACATGGCCTGATCGACCAGCATCTGCAAGTCTGAAACACCAACATTCCTCCCAACACAGGACCACCTTGCAGTTTAGGGAATGCAGCATGCCTTCACCCGAAGCCATGGCCGCCATGTGGGATATTTTTACCATCGCGACACTAACTCGAAATGCCACTATTCAGTATTCACTACTGCGAGAACTACGGCCTCCCGAGCCGTTTTCCAAACCCCGACCATAAACCGAAGGCTGGGAATAGTTACTTGCTACGACCTGGGGGCCGATGTCATCTCGTCTGTCCTGCCAAACTGGGGGATGGTAAACGAAAATATCAAGGATTCTGAGGGGATTTGGATGAAAAGCGTCGGTCGCTTGAGCTGAGATGCTAAGACACGGGTCGCCTGGTGCCTTGCAGCTGAAGAGGTGTAGCCTGTTCAAGTTCTGGGCGTCATCTGATTTCATTAATTCCCCCTTCATTTAGGACTATTTCCTTTTTCTACTATAGTAGAAACGTTGAGGATGTTGCCACCTTCTGATCTGTGCGGGAGGATGTGTGGAGTGCAGGGTGTTCCCCAGGAAGCATAGTCCAACTCGCTTCTTCGTCATGGGGATCAGAGCTAACAAACTCCATGGACCAATTTTCCTGCCGTATTCTGCGCCATTCTCGATAGACATATCCCATGCTGACCGCCGTCCACATCTCGCATACAGCATAGGCATAGAAGACTAACTACTGCACTCCATACATACTTCGGCGCATACGGGCTGTCGAGTCTGGGCTTGCACATGATTGAGTGGATAAGTATAGAACAAAGTTACTTCCCCGGCATGCATGACCGCCATCCCGCGCCAACACCGCCTCAATAATTCAAATGCACTTGTCAGAACAGTAAGTATAATCTGCAGAGAAGGGGGAAGGCCCCGTATAGCTGTCCATACACAATGAAGAAAGCATCTGTATGGGGCATGCACAGTGCATTACCCAGAATCCCTCGGGCCCATCATCCGTCATCCCTTTTGTTCCATCGCCGCATACAAGGAAAAGCAACGACTGGGCACTCAACGACGATCATGGCATGGCTATTGGCTTTCTCGTATGTGGATCAATCATCGGCTCGGAAATAATGCTTGGCTGGGTCGTAAATGCACGGGAAGGGCCCAGTGTGAACCCGCAAGGTAAAGATCATTTTTGAAATAAAGATCAGATACAGACTACAGCTAGAACGGTACATGAATCACGCAGATTCCCACCCGTTTCTCGTCTCGCACGCTGGCGGCCGCAAGGGCAACGCCTGGTGGATCTTGTGCCGGACGGAACATCTAGTCACAGCATTTTCCTACTGTATGTGCGCCCACTCGACCCTTTCAAGGGGGATAATTTAGAAGTGATGGAGACACAAGAGATGGGGAGATGAGGAGGCGTGAATAGTAGAGTAACCTCATAACCGATCATCGGCGATTGGCCAAGGCCACGGGGAATGCTGAGCATGCAACGAAATGGAGAGAAGTGGGTACAACGAGGCCTCGCGCAACTAACCCCATTGGGAAAATGTAGATGTATCGCCCTGGAACGACCTCTAACTTAAATCGGGTTAAGTCACGCTAATAGTCGACCTAATCCCGGCTAAGTCGAGCTAACTCGGAAGAGGAAATCGAAAGATTTTTTAGTCATAAACAAGTCAACTCGCGCTAACCCCATTTTGAAGTGGGGGGTACAGCACTTTGTCGAGTCATGAGGCTGACAGCGGTTAACTAGCTCCCGACCGTGTTGTTCGGTGGAGATGCGGTTAGCTTGGACGGTGTCTGGGCGAGAGAGGAGCTCCCAAACGGTTTTGGCGCTAGATCCATGTCCCAAACAATCGCGGTCCAGCCACTCCGTACCACAATTAAAGTTGCGAAGGATTGAACGGTACATGAAAGGAAGCATATCGCAGGAATTTGGCTCGATCTAGCTTTGTAGCCCGGCGCCTCAGGCGCTAATAGTCCACTCCGATGGAAGCATCCTTAAGGAAGCACTCCGTATAGGGAAGTCCACCTAACCGAGTATGAACGGCAAAGCGGCACATTGTCGGGCGTGATGGGGGGTTCCTGCAGCGCGGGTTTCAATAGTGTCATTCCGAGACGCTGGATGTTGGGAGGACAAATGATCCTTTTCCACGCTTGTTTCAATCGCCGTGGGCGGCCCCTCTCGAGTAATTAGCGGCTCGCACTTTTTTTGTATTAGGGCGAGGCTGATTTGCAAAGGCCGATCGATTGCAACATAGCGATTAAAATTGGAATTGAAATGAGATGGGAAGAGTAGGGGAAGGAGAAGACTCCATAACCAGCTGGACTGAAGACGCAATCCTGATTAGGATAAGGTACTCCGTACTCATTACTGCATCTGGAGAAAGCGCAGACGGCAAGTATGAAGAGGAAAGAGCCGCGCATGATCAATTGTAGTGCGATGTTCTCGCGACACTAACTCGATTCATGAACGACTTGATCAAGTTTCTCAGACTGCATTATATCCCTGTGACTAGTCACTAGTAGCATGTAGTTATCACTGCGAGTTGCGACCGAGAGAGCACCAAGTAGTCGGGATCGGTCAGGCTTACCACAACGCTGCACGCTGGTAGGTCATGACTATGAAGATCACACTATTTGGATTAACGTCCCGATCTGAGGTAAGATTTCAGGAGCCGTGAAGAATTTGGCCCCGTTGAGCTACCCGTGATGGATCTTGTAAGACCTAAGCCCTGAAGGATTTCATGACGAGCCAAGCCATGATTGACAGTGGCAGTGGCGCTGGCAGTGGCAGCTTGAGGAGGGGCAGCGGAGTATCAGACCTTGCGAACAGACTTTCCTATCCGGTTGATTAAGGCTTGGAAGAGCCCACAGTCCAGAGGGGGATCCACGTACAATAATCACATCTCCGTAAGTTAGTTAGTTAACTAGGTGGTTCCTTTTACCTAACCCAGGAGCAGGTGCGAGCGATCGTGAAAGAACACAGCGACCGATCGGCCGGGGGTGGACTCGTCCATTCGGTCTCGCCCTTTCGTGTTCTCTGAGAAGATCAACTCGACCGGAAGGTCGCGAGAGCCTCGTAGTGGAGCCAACTGGCGGTCCTGCCCCCGTCATTTGTTAGTTGCAGCGCAGTTCTGTCCTTTTGTCTCCCCGCGGGCGAATTCCGCCCGGAGGACTCTAGGGGCACGAGCCGTGTTGATCACGTTTGTAATTCCATATCGACCCCATTTTTTTTGGATTCCGTAGACATCGCTAAACCCGACATGCTGGAGCCGAGACATGCTTGAAGGCTCTTTAGCGAAACACACAACAAAAAGGGGGCTACGTATCTCGGAATCTCGACTCCATTTTCATACCGTAGTTGCCAACAACTATGCCGAACTGAGTGTTGGGTGACGAGAGACCCACAATAGTCACAATGACAATGAGTTAGGTGCTGAGGAGAGACGGGAAGTTCAGCAGGTACCCAGCAGGTTGCAGAGTCACTCTCAGACGAGCTAACCAACGACTGTAACCCAACAAACAAACCAACACTTTCGTTGATCTTAGAAGCTATACTCTATACAGGTGCCAACTTACAACATTACTATCTCGGTATCTCACTCACCATCAAGTTCTTCGCGATAAGCCCAGCCCGCGATGGACCATCAAAAGGCCCCTCCAAGCCTCCAAGCCCCAAAGCCCCAAAGCCCCAAAGCCCCAAAGCCCCCCGACGGCCCCGGGATCGCCCAAGAACCCTAAAAAAAGAACCAACATTGAATCGCGCTCCATAACTGGCGAGCTCGGTATAGACTAAACTCTTCTGCAGAGCTACCAAAGCCACCGAGGGGCCAATGACGATTTGGGGGCACCACGGATCAACGGAGGTCAGCACTTGTGGTCTTCAGGCATGACATTGTCACAACGGTTATTTGTCTATTATCACTCATTACTGGCTGTTGATGAAATTGCTTGGTCCATCGATAGCTGAAAAAACTGTCAGACGATGTGTAAAATCTCCGAAATGGTTACAATGGGGTCCCTTTTACTTTTGCATGACACCTAAAAGAGCGAGATGGAGGGAGGCCCACATACTTCCGAGGGTGGACATACATGGCGCACGACAAGAAACGGGCTGTATCTACTGTAGACAGATACAGCAAGCAAG